GACAGCAAACAGCAAGTCAAACTCCTCGCTAAGTACGAGAAAAACATCAAATGGCTGCGTGCAAAGCGGTATGGCTCCTTTAAGCCCAACATGGACACGATTATTAACCTTGCCAACATTGAACTATCTCCGGTGCAAAAGGAATTGCTGTGCCGGGGAACGGAGTTTGGTATTCCTCCTTCTAACAACAGAAAGGAAATGGTCCTTACACAATTCGAAATGTTCCACACAAAACTCATGAAGAATTTTACACCAGTGTCTGAAAATCAGCGTGCTATCTGTACGGCTAATCTTCGAGCCATCGCCGAAGAACACGCGGAAAAACCTCCAGACCGAAGCACATTTTCATTATCCAGAGAACACCTTAAAGCTCGACGTGTTCTAATGAACAACAACGATATTAGAATCACAAGACCAGACAAGGGTCGAGCTACAGTTATTATTAGCACACAAGAGTACAATACAAAAATGGCGGTCATCCTTGAGGACACGAGTAAGTTTGTCCAACTCGGTCCGGTATCTACTCATGACAACACAGTTCGGGTAGAGAAAAAGTTGAATAGTTTTCTCAAGAGACTTAAAGAAAGTAAACAGATATCGGAGGAAGAGTTCTTCAAAATGCGGCCCATTGGTTCCGTCCGACCACGTCTCTATGGGCTCCCAAAAATACATAAAGCGAACTGTCCGTTGCGCCCCATATTATCCATGGTCGCATCACCGCAATATAATATCTCTAAATGGCTGTGTGGTTGGCTTGACATCGTGCAAAAGTTCTATTGCAAACATACAGTTAAAGACACCTTCGAATTCATTGACGTCCTTCGCTCCCACCCAGTTCCGGCCTCCGCGCATATGTGCTCGTTTGATGTTGTGAGTCTATTCACGAACGTTCCGTTAGAAGAGACTATCAATATTTGCCTAGATGTGTTGTACCGAAATGATGAAGTTGATACGCCGTGGATATCGGAGACGGCATTCCGGGAACTGATGTTGCTCGTGACGACTGGTGTGGAGTTTTCCTTCAGTGACATTATGTATAGGCAGGTTGATGGGGTAGCCATGGGCTCCCCATTAGGTCCAGTATTAGCGAATGTGTTCGTTGGTTACTGCGAGTCACTGATTGCAGAACAGTTGTGGCCAGCATTGTACGTTCGTTTTGTTGATGATTCCTTCACCTGGTTCGATTCTCTTGAAGATAGCCAAATCTTTCTTGGTATTCTAAATGACCTACATCCTTCCATACGCTTTACTTGTGAGCACGAACAAGCGAACAAACTTCCCTTTCTAGACGTCCTTGTGGAAAAGTCTAGTCAGGGTACAGTAACATCTGTGTACAGAAAGCCTACATTCACCGGCCAGTACATAATGTTTGACTCGTTTTGTTCGTACCAATACAAGGTGAATTTAGTGCGTAACTTGGTGGATCGAGCAAACCGTATTTGCTCATCTTCCAAACTGGCGGAGGAACTGGACTTCCTAAAGTCAGTTTTTCTAAAGAACGGGTATCCCGACGATCTCTTGAAGGAGCTCATGAGCGAAAGGCTGCATAGAAAGGAAATTCGTTTTGGCCCGGACAAATGTCCCACGTATCTTTCTCTCCCTTGGAAAGGTAACCTCTCATTATCCATGAGTCGCGTGGTCCGCAAAATTGTACAACAAACGTACTACGCGGTACATTTGGTACCCGTTTTCACAACTGTACGTGCGTTCACGGTGAGGAAGGATGTCCTACCAACCCAACTCGCATCTAAATTGGTATACCAATTTGAGTGCCGACAATGCGGTAGTCGGTACGTTGGTAGGACTCTTCAACATCTGAACGCACGTATCAAGCAGCACGTCCCACTGCACATGCTGACTGGCTCGGCACGGGCACTGCGACCCAAACGCGGCAGGCCACCTAAGAACCCTCGACCAGAGCCATCGTTAGCACAATTGCCGTCGACGGCAATAGTGCCTCCATTACCCGTATCGAGAGCCGTGGAGATGGATAATGTGCACATTGTCACTAACGTTATAACACAATGCACCATAACAACACAAGAAAGTACACCACAACAACATCCAGCTCAAGACCAAAGTGGACGACGCTGCGGCGAGGTGATCATGGTGGTGCCCCCATCGCCATCGTTGCCGTTGCCTCCCCCAGAACCGCCACCTGCATCTGCCATCGGCAGTGCTGGGGCTGAGTCTGTGGTGTCGCTGGCACGGGCAAATATGGATGAGGTAAGCACTGAACATGAACTAGAAGAAAGAAAGCTGAAGGAAACGGAATTCAACAGAGAAAACAACACGATCAACATTCAAAGACCTAGACGATCAACGGCTAATTATTCAATGAATTATTACAGTACTGGATGTCAAGCACCGGCGAAGACACTGGGAACAGAAGATTTGGCAACAACAGGAACAACAACAATGACAACAACAACAATGGTAACAAATTACCATCAAGATCAAAGGAGGAGTCAACGAACAGAGGTTCAGCAACGTGAAGCGAGCCTGGGACCGATCGGTGGTGATGAGGAGAATGACACGGAGGACGACACTGAGGACGAGTTGGAAGATGAGACGGGGGACGAGGTTGCGGTTGGTGGAGACGAGGAATCGGATGGTGATTGTGATCGTAAGAAGTCTGCCGTTTTTCTTCATCTGTTGTCTCACCCTAAGTGTCTGCAGGTGTATGATGATTTTAGTTTTTCTGTTCTTTGTCGTGCACGGTAAGCTAGTCAGTTGAAAGTACTTGAGGCTGTTTGTATTCGTTTGCATAAGCCTGATCTTTGTAAGCAGAAGAAACATGTAGTTGCGTTAAGATTGTTTTCGTAGGTGCACAGCATGATTGTTTGTCTAACTACACAGTTCTAGCGTTGCAATTAGTTCCTCACCCCTGTTGCACTTAGCTCTCACTTTACTTCTATTGTCTCACCTTCCCTCATTCTATTTTTAGCACTTTGTTTCGTTCTCGTAACACATTTATTAAATGTATATAAAGTATTGATTTGGCATGGTTATTCTTCAGTCACGGCTTTCCACTGATGATTGTGACAAGAAAATCGATTTTGGTAAACCTTCATGACTTTGTTGTAGTGTGGCGATGACAGCAGAATTTGTTCTCTTTATAGCTAGAACAAAGGAAGTGCTACAGCATTACATAATAGGTGTCAAACATAGTGCTAACGTATATAACTGAGTGCAGCCACAAAGCAAGAGGTGATACAGTGCAACATGACACAACATTTACATCTGATAACCAGCTACGAGAACAACTTTAGCGCGACTACATGCTTCTTTTGTTTACAAAGAACAGGATTATGCACACGAATACATACATGTACAGCTTCCAGAACCTTCAACTGCTTAACATAACAATCCTTAAAATTTCCATGAACTTGTTGTTGTCTGGCCATGTCTGCATCGATTATACTCCTAATTGCACTAATAAAATTGCTTTCTCCACGCCGACTCTTTAAATACATGTATGTGAAAAGAAGTGCAGAAAACAACAAAAAAACGCGGGAAATCGCAGACTTTTCAGAAATTCGCGGGTTTTGGCCAAAATCGCGAAATTTGTTGCATCCGTGGAATCGCGATTTCCTGGAGGGACAGACTAGTAGATCCACTAGTAGTAGATCTACTACTGGTATGCTGCATCCAGCCGTGAGTTCTCTACGCATGTTACATGACTGTCTATTAGGGGTGAAACGGTTCGGGTAAGGAACCGGTTTTGGAACCGCCAGCTGAAAAGAATCGGGTACCCGTTCCGTCAAATTTCGAACCGAAACTCGAAAAATCTCGTTCTTGTACAAATACATGTACACGTCAAGTCTACTCAAGATTTTAATGTCTTACCTTACGATCCCCACTCTTCCAAAGAGTTCTCTGGTCATTATCTTCTTCGCACTTGGACTCTCCGATGTCTCATTCTTGCTCGTAAAACTGTTTTTTCTAAAAAATAATTGTCGCGAACGCATTTTGTCGGTCTGGACAAAAGAGTCCATGGAACCGATACCCGAACCGTGGGAAACAATGCTGGCATTCGGGTACCCGAACATGAAAAACATGGAACCGTTTCACCCCTACTGTCTATCATTTCGCTTGTCTTTTTTGTCTGTATGATGTATCTTTTCGCTTGTCTTGCCAAAGGCTTTTGTGTAAAAGAGCACAAAATGTGGGTAATCATGGTCATTCGAACAGGAAACACTTCCAAACTCTCCGACATGACCCTCAACTTCTCATGACTATTGACTGTTGTCGCCATTTCAGAATCCAGGAGGCGCATGGAGCGCATGGAGCGCATGGAGCGCCTTTGAATAACTGTACACAGTAAGTACAATTTCTGGTTTGGAGTTACTTTCGCTACCGGGGTATATTATTCGTTTATATAGGGGGCACGAAATCACTAACGTTTTTTTCTGAACGTTCGGAGTGACACTAGTAGTAAGACTTTAGTAGTACTAGTAGTAGTAGTCCATACCGGTAGCCTAGTGCGGCCAATCTGCCAGTACTGCAGTAGCGTAGGGGAGAATGCTTCAGCCTGCTTCAGCCTGCTTCGTTCAAGAATCAAGTGCTTGACTTCGGAATGGATTTCCATGTTCACGACATGACAATGACTACAAAAATCATGACTAGTCGACCGTATATACATGTATACCGTATACGCGTAGGTCTACTGCCATGGTACGTGTACATGTGTATGTCGGGTTATGTTAAAAATATCTTATGCATGCAATCATACTCGTACTCTACTGTCTACAAAAAATGTCCCGAGCCGACGTGCATGCTACGCGTATTCGATATTCGTGATGCAGCGTGCATGACACGAACAAACATTTTTCAGGACAAACTATAAAAATACTCGTCGTAGATCTATGAATAGTATGGTGCTTGATAGAGACTGCATGCGAGCTTATGCATGGTAGATCTACTTACACTTACAGTATGCTACTTGGCGCATGGCGCTGTTTGTGTATTTCCCTGAAAATGTTTATTGTTCATCTGGTTGAAATTATTTTTGTTCCTAAGCTAAGCTGGTCAAGGAAGTATTCTATCTACTTGTAGTTAGCATCCAGTTTGTAGTTGCAATAGTTCGCTTTTGGTGTCCAACATGGCCTTTTGGTTGAAATGCCCTTGATCGATTGAATTGAACGAAACAGTGACTCCTCTCTCCTTACGACGTAAATGTCCAAAGAATAGGTTGCGTTTATTTGAGTAAGATCACGCGTAGGAGGAATATTTGCAGGCGAGTGGACGTGCAGGTATGGCTGAGGCAAGTGAAGATGGAAAGAGAGTTCCCCGAGATCCAAACTTCATAGGTGAAGACGAAGAGGAGATCGATCAAAGCACGGGCAAGCCACGCTACCGCACCAAACCCGTGCCCGCTGTGGGCGTGCAGCCAGATTTCGATACCTTCGGACCCAAGGCACGTGTTCGCGTGGAGCTGGATGAAGCCGACCCGGACGAGGCAGACCTGCCGCCTGCACGGGATAACTTCTTCGAGCCGTGCAGCAATCCATCGACGGACGAGGATGATGGCGAGCAAGAACAGCCGGAGACCAAGTCAAAGCGTGCTGGCAAGGGCGGCAAAAAAGGCAGTAAATCCAAATCTGCCCTGACGAAGACAATCAAGGAGAAAATCCCAGTGTACGTGAACCCAGACGGCACGGCAATGCTGAGTGAAGACTCGGCGCTGAACATCGGCAATCTGAGCGTAGCGCCAATCATTCAGTCGTTCAATGAGCTGCAAGCTCAGACCAAGGACAATGAGGATAAGCCAGTGTTACGACACGACATCAGAATTCCCAACCGGCTGGCAGTCAAGAGCATGAGTGAGTATACACAACTATATTTGTAGGTACAGTACAACCTGTAACTAAAGATCACCATGACTAGCGATCAGCCTGGTACTTCCGACCACTGCGCTAGGCACGGACGGTCTCACATTCACATAATTATTAGACATGGTTAGCATTTTACCGTTCACGCTATTTTCGACGGTCGGCGTGTACAGCGGTGTAGAGGACGAGTCTACTGTTTTTTGTGTGTTTTCGAGACACGGTTAGCAGTTTGGCTTCTGAGTCCTCACTCCTAACGCAACGATAGACGTGTGAGGTAACCCTAGTTGGAATCTTACCGTTTCTATCTCCCGCTAAACTGAGCTTTCTATCATCGAAACGGTACCAAACCGACGGTATTTTGGGTGTTGGGTACGAGCACCATTGGATCTAACGCGTGAACTGTAAAATGCCACGTCTACACACACAAAAAAACGGTACAGGCCGACCGTCGAAAATAGCGTGAACAGTAAAATGCTAACCATGTCTATTATGGCTGTGCGGTGCAAACCTCTCACTAAGGACCACCTGCCACTAAAGACCGCTTTCTGTGGCCCCAAGAGGTGGTTGTTAGTCACAGGTTTTTACTGTATTGCAGTCTGGCCCTCCATATTTCTCTCTTTCTCTCTCTCTCTCGGCCAACACCCCACTCGACTAGCAGGCCGCCGCCATACTGGGGAGAAATGCATCATGAATTGTGTGAAAGACGTACCGTTTTTTCGGCGTATAAGCCGCACTGGAGTACCGTAAACCGCCCAATGTTCGCGTCACTAAATTTTCGCAATTTCTTAGAACCAGCGAGTCTGCGATGGCAAAAGTTTGCGAAGCACCGGCCCCACCAACATACACCCCTGTTGAAGCTTGATTTCACGCTGCTTAATATTCACGTTACGATCTTCTCGCGAAAATAGCGAACACCAATACATCGCGAATATTAGGCATTTTACAGTATAAGCCCCCCCCCCATTTTTTTGCCACAAAATACAACCTATCCAATTTATCACCGTTAATTTGATCATCAGAGTATGAGCCGCACCCTCCCTCCCCCTTTTTGGGGGGGGGGGGAAGGGAATTTTGAGTGTTCGAATTGCGGCTCATACTCCCCACCTAGGAACCACAAGTTACGCTATAATGTCCACTAACACTATCCATCCGAGTCCATTCCTAAACACTTTTCGGCCGCATTAAATATTTCATCCTGCACTGCTGCTGTCTGGGTACACTGTCACGCTTAACGTTGCGAAAGAAAATTTCAGCCACGAGAAATTTGCGGCCCAAAACGGCGAGGCCGAAATAGCTGAAAAATATGTATGTGCCGGATATACAATCCATGCGCCGGTTACTTGTTGACTTACAGTCTGCAATGTACTGTAAAAGCCATATATATAACGAAGTGCTAATTCTAACGAGTTAACGAGGAGAAATCTGTCGTTAAAATAGAAATCGTTATACAGAAATCGATACATAATACTGTCCTATTGGGCGTTGAGAATGAGTGAGAATAGTTACCTTTGGTACACGTAAACCAGTCAATTTTGGGAAATCGTTATATATGCGCCTCGTCAGAATAATGGCTTTTACAGTACTCGATTTGGTAATAATTAAAACTGCCATAGTCTGGTACAGAGCCCTCCTGCAGTTATGCCAGTGTGTGTGACTGACTACCTGTTGTCATGTCGCCCTGTGCAGAGATACTTGGCATCGTGGACATGGTGCGCGACATCCACCCCGATCTGAAAGAGAAGAAGTTTGATCTCGCCCACCAGGCCTTCCACCTGGCATGTGGCACACCGAAGGAAGTGCGCTGGTGCCTGAACGGCCTCATCGAGGAGGCAGCCTACAGGGAAGGCTGGACGGTGGAGCAGACGGTGCGTATCCAGTAAAACAAGCGTGTATCTTAGATCTACCTACCTTGCCTTGTGTGTTTGAAGCATGAGTGCGCAGGTTATTTTGTTCGTAGCAGTACATCTTAGTGTTGCTAATGACTCGCAGACTCCACTGCAGACGTGTACACATTCGAGTATCTCAACTCATGCACTCCGAATACGGTCTCTTTGCTGCATACATTATTCGTCATTTAGACCGTACTTTTTGTGTTAGATTTCAGGTACCCTACTGTGTAACTTAGTGTCATGTATGTTGTCGTGGACGTTGAACCCACACAGGACAGGATGTGTGGGCCATGGCACACCTCCTGGCAAAACTAACCTAAGTCACTTCACTCTTGGTTCGTGCCCCCCCCCCCCCATTCATTTCACCTACCCTGCTCCCGTACTAGCTTTGCAACTCGTAGTTTGAATTGGCATGGGGACAATGTTGTGAATACAGCCAGGGACAGTACCAAGGTCCTAACGTAGGCTATGATGACGTATGCTATCATTCCGAGACCTCCGGTTGGAAGAGCCTCGCCAACCACATCGCCCCCTACTCCCCTTTGTCTTGTTGTCCAGTGTCACTTCCATTGTATTCGTTCCCTGAATATCAGTAGGGCTGTGTTTCCTAGTCATAAATAAATAAAACTGAACCGACCTGGCCTGCATGGGTGTATAATTATAGTCTTGAGTGCTCCGCTGGTACTGTTCATAACTCTCTTTTCCATCTTGACAGTGTTCACTAGTATACTTTCATGCTTTATTATCAGGTGAACTACAGGCAAAATCAAAGGAGCATGGACAATGCATTTCAAAAGTACAGCAGGCATGATAAGGCATGAAAGTATACAAGTGAAAACTTTCAAAATGTTCAAGAGCCTGAAGTGTGTCCTACTTGTGAGTATCATTGCATTCTTGCCTCCAAGGAAATTGACTCTCTCTTCTTGAGCTGGAGAATTCCTTGTTGAAATATCTCGTACTATTTATTCAAACCAGTGAATATTATTTATTTATTTAAATATTTAACTCTCTCTCTCTCTCTCTCTAATAGTATGTGCATGCATTGCTGATGTGGTGAGGAATCCCAGAGATGATGGCAATACCCAGCCTTGACAGAAAGTACAAAAGAAAAAACAGGAAAACCAAGCTCAGCCAATGAGTGACGGAATCGGGCATTACATTGTATGGATAAAAACATGTGTGACTGCTGCAAGACAACGCAACCCACTACAAACATTCATTTCACCGAGCCAAACTGCCGTGTATCCTTTCTGCACTTCTTCTCTTTTCCAGGCGGAGCATGTAGCTGACAGGTATGTCACGCCGAAGCAGTTCTTCAATATCATCAAGCCTGAAGATTACGACTTCTATGAGGTCGACTACGAACGGTTAGAGGTGGTCGCGCTGACCGAAAGTGGCGAGGCCATCTTCTGCCACAACTTCACGGATGTGTATCGGTCATACCTCAACCGGGCGCACCACGACGATATTCAGGTGGGTACGACGTGCTGTGGCTACAGGAGGTACATGTATTATGTCTGTGTGTGGGAGGGGGGGGGGGTACGTGTGTGCGTGCGTGTGTGGGAGGGGGATCGAGGGGCTTTGCAGGTTTACATTTGGAAGTCCTGGCAATGTTGCCAAGTAGGGTCAGAAGTGCTCAGTCCCATCGGCCGAATCCGTAAACGGATGCAGAGAAATGCCAGCATATTGTACTAAGCTGAAAGCCTGGATCAGTGACAATGGCATCACCGTTGTTGTACATGCGGACATCCAGCAGTATCTGCTTTCGCTTCCACGGCGTCAAGGAATAGGCATATCCTAAAATGCCGAATATAGACTTTGGGTCAGATTTCATGTAGCACGACATACTGCTCAAATGATATGCATGCCTGTTTCTGCCTCCATGTGTCTAGGGAAGATGCGTACAGCTGCAGTGTCCTTGTAAAGGACCATAGTAGTTTTTGTAGTGAAATCAAAGCAGACTCAGCGGATGACGTTAAAGCGGAAGTATACCCTAAAATCAAATTTTCACCAGTTGTAGTCTTCTGGGTGCTGAGTCGAATGGTCTTGGTCCGAGAAAGCTGCGACGCTCCCTTCCTACTTGAATCCCAATCGAACTCGCGCACTTCCACCGAAACTGGGTGACTGCGCCCTACTAGATGGGGATTTGTATGCAAAATGTCACTAAAAGCGCCATTTCGTTCTTATAAAAGCACGGATGACCGCGATTGGCCCATATGTTGTAGTCTTTTGGACGCTGAGTCGACTGGTTTTGGTCCGAAAAGCCTGCGATGCAGCGTTCCTCCTTTATTCCCAATCGAACATGGTTGAACAAACGGTCACGTGCTCCTGGGTGCCCAAATCACCTGGTCACCGTGCCAGCAGGTGACAACTTTCACACCAAGGTTCAACTCGAGTTCAACTCGAGTGACAGGACTGCACCCAAAAAAGGTCAAACAGGCTAGTAAGTTGTACCCTGCAGGCACGGTGACCAGCTGACTGGTGTACGCAGGAGCACGTGACCGCTTGTTCAACCATATTCGATTGGGAATAAAGGAGGAACGCTGCATCGCAGCCTTTTCGAACCAAAACCAGTCGACTCAGCGTCCAAAAGACTACAACATATGGGCCAATCGCGGTCATCCGTGCTTTTATAAGAACGAAATGGCGCTTTTAGTGACATTTTGCATACAAATCCCCATCTAGTAGGGCGCAGTCACCCAGTTTCGGTGGAAGTGCGCGAGTTCGATTGGGATTCAAGTAGGAAGGGAGCGTCTCAGCTTCCTCGGACCAAGACCATTCGACTCAGCACCCCGAAGACTACAACTGGTGAAAATTTGATTTTAGGGTATACTTCCCCTTTAAAGCTGGTTGTAGCTCCGAGTTTCACCCCACTAGTCAATCATCAGACAACACACGCACACACAACTGATAGTAGGAAATCTGTGAACGTAGAAGCAACAACGAACTCGTCCATTTAAAAATGTTCAAACACTCCACCACTCCACATTGCGCTCTTGAAATCTGTGTGTGTGTGTTTTGGTACATTTTGCAGCATCTTCTTGACCGACACAAGCGCCTACTGGAGGACCGGCACTGCGTCAACGACGTTTACACTCGCATCTGCCGTACAGGCAACATCCTGGCACGCGTCAACACACGGCTGCGGTACAAAACACTGGGCGACTCCACCATGTTCCCCCTCATTCTGCAGGACATTGACAGCCTGCCGGAGATGCAGATGTCACTGGTGTGCGAAAAGAATGCCGACTATGTGCATGTCAACACACCCATGCCGGACTTCCTGGCTGGGCATGGCGACAAGGTACGATTTGCAACCGGCTTTGGCTTTTCTCATGGGCCAACTGTCTCTCGCTTGCTCTCTCTCTGTCTCTCGCTTGCTCTCTCTCTGTCTCTCTCTCTTTCTCTCTCTCTCTCTCTCTCTCTCACTCACTCTCTCTCTCTCTCTGTTTTTTGCTCCCACTGGCAAATCTCTCATCTCCATGTTCCACCACTCTGCACAATGAAACTTTATGTGATATTTATTAGTTCGTAACATGCATGCACATGCATGCTATAATTAAGAGCATGCGAGTGGACCAGATGCGCCGCACACTGATTTGCGTACATCATGTAGCCTCTCTCTTAAAGAAATTATCCCTTTCTCTCTATTCCGTCATTCCTCGCTTTCCTGGGTGTGTGGGGGGGGGGGGGCTATGGGCATACGCTCATCAAAATAAGATGTATCTTTGTGCCTGGCTAACTCTCAAAACAAACCTGGAAATTGTTCTGATTATTCCACCTTGTGTGCCTAGATCTGGGATATTGCATTTGAGAATTTGCGTCGCCTGTACGTTCAGAAGACGTGGATCAAGCGGAGATGTATACCGCGCGGTGACAACAAAGTTGCAAAGGACGGGGTGAGTTCCACACTGTATTTGTGGCTGTATTAATTACGGGATAAAACATAGTAAAAAAGTAGATAACTGTGTCCGTTCGCGAAGGGAACTCACGACGGCCGCTAACACGCGGTAAACTCTAGCAGCTGATGCAGCGCCCAACGATGGGAGTGAGGGGATAAGTCGCACAACCTCTGGCACAAGAGCCGGAAAAACTCTATTAGCTGCATCCATGTATCCCCTGTGCCTGTCCACAAATTCCCAGTTGACTGTGGGTAGCAAGACATTGTATTGATTACAACACGTCACCCGCAGCCAAGTCAATAATTCCCTTTCTTAGCCCATTGTGCAAAACTCAAGCTCGACACAAATCTATTTCATTCCTTCGTGCTGACCGCTTCAATACGCTTCCGGAATCCCTTCGCACTAATCATATCCCCAATTCATTTCGCCCAGAACATAACAAATTCATTCATCTTGGGCACCCTGTAAGAAGACCTTAGGGTCTGTTGGGGCACGTATATGGTTGCCAGTAGTGCATTTACGAAATTTAGGGGGTTCCGCCCCTGGAACAGGAGCTGTTGTAGACACAGTTGAACTGACAAGGCAAACTCTTGCTCAGTACTTAAATTGTTCGGGATGTGGGTGCATTGATCCACACTGAAACATGTTTGGAGTTACGTCGAATCAGAGTTCCACTAAAGAAGCCTTCGACAACTGTATACAAGACTATTTCTCCTTCGTGTGTTTGCCCCATCACTACAGGTATGGCTTCACTTCCTGGAAGGCTACGACTGTGAATGCCTGGCGTTCCTGGCCAGTACCATGTTCATGCCGGAACGCATGAAGGAGGTGTCGCGCATCAAGGTCAAGGGTGACGTGATCATGGGAATAGTGCGCGACGATGTCACCATGCTGTGCGGCTCCGAGGAGCTCTGGTCCATCGCGTACATGGCTCACGTCGGTGTGGACTCACTGGGGCATGAGGCTTACGTTGGCGTGACGCTGAGACTGCACAAGCAAAAAGACGGTGAGTACATTGAAAGAGAGTGTTATACTCGAAACAGATTTTCTCAAGGAATTCAGTACTCAACGGATGTGTTGCTTTGGTGGTGGTGTACTGCGGCAACGTGTCGTGCCGAGGTCAGCTGGAGAGCGTAGCTGCAGTGTGCTGGTTGATGAAAGTACATTCTTATCTCTCTTACCTGGACCTCGGAGTGACCTGCACTTCAGTCTACCGGGCACACTGTGGGAGTTCTTATTGGAAAATTTACCAATCTTTTGCCATTTTTTGTTGAAATAGTGAAGTTGTTTGCCAAATATCTGGCCCTTCCCCGTTGAAAAGTATGTGAAAAGAGCTACAGACGTTTCCAAGTTATGAGCAGTGCCCGGTTCCGTACTGCACGGCTACTAATGAGTGTGTAGGGAGTCACTGTGGATCCTGTCTAAAGAGACCGCTTATCAACGGACTTGCTGAATGTGATCTCCCTCTTCAGGGTCATTAGACTGGCAACAGTTGTATTTCTAGTGATCCTTTAGGACTCGTGATCGCGTTCATAGATTTCATGTACTGCTATTACGGAGGATTAGCAAGACGAAATTCGCGTTTGCGAACATTTTTCAGTTCGCGAACTGGATTGCGAACTTTCGCATTTTTCGTTCGGAAAAGTAGTCGGAACACGAATCGCGGATTCGTGTCAGGGCAGTCATAAATTTACCACTCTGTTCTGTCTGTACACAATGTACATGCATGTGCGAATTCTGTTTGCTAATCCTTCTCATAACCCGAATTCCGTCACTGAGTTCGACTTTCTTTGGAGAGCGAACACGAACGCGAATTTCGTCTTGCTAATCCTCCGTATTGTCAGGAGTGGTCTTGTATCATTGACATTCTAGCGAGAGTGCGAGCACTTGTGTATGTGTGTGCGGCTGTTCGTTTGCGTGCATATATGAGTGTCAAGAGTCTTGATGTGTTTTATTTACGTATTGGTCGCTATCTTTGCCACAAGAAAAAACCTGTGGGTGTACATCCGGTACATTCTTGCAACTGGCATACATGTACATAGTATGGATGTGGGTGTACAGTCAACTTCGCTTATAACGACACTCGGCGGGGCATCAAAAAAGTGTCGTTATACTCGAAGTCTCACTATATGTATTACAGTTGGATGGGACTTTGCTCTGGGCATGGAAATTATGTCGTTATTCGCGAATTGTCGTTATATCCGCAGTCGTTATTAGCGAAGTTGACTGTAGTCGCGTGTGAATATGCGCGAGTCAGGGTGGGTGCCAGTGGCGGTCCGCAAAGCCGTTGCACCACTGACTACTCTGCATGCTTGGGCGCGGCGCGCGCTACTTTAGACGTGAGGTCGGACCTCTCTGGTCAGAAGTGTAGATGCTAGAGAGCTGGCTTAACTCTCCTTCCTGTGTTTGGTCTGCTGACATGGCGTCGCTCCATTCCTCCTCTCTTGCAATTTTGTGATTCAATCTCTCTATAATAGTATTCTCTCCTGGGGTTTTTTTCTCTACCTCTATCTCTGTCTCTCTTTCTCTCCAACTCTATGCTGCTGTAGGAACTTTGGGATGGATTCTCTACAAGCCGAGAACAGCCCGCGAGGCGGTCATGCCGCAGAATCGCGTAGAAGTGGACCTGTTCGTGGGACAGATGCAGCAGAAGATCCACCCGACCGGCTGTGCCAACTGTCACCGCTTGGTCAACAAGTTGATGGTGAGCTTGCACATGCTGTGAAGGAAATCTGTACTTCTCTCTGTGGATGCATGACGTGCATGATTCTGCACTGGCGGCCGGTGTGGATCGGTCAGCTGCAACATTGTATATGCATAAGTGGATTGTGAGGTTGACCATGCTGTGAAGGAAGTCTGTACTTCTCTCTGCACATGAATGATGTTCATGATGCTACACTGGAGGTATCGGTGTGGGAGGGTAACTGGAACGGTTGCAAAATCATGCAAAAGTTGATCGTGAGGTTGCCCGGACCGTGAGGGAACTCCGCATTGGTTTCCAGTGCGGATACGTTAACTGGAACAATTTCCATGCACGTTGGCTGGCTGTCACCTTCATTTCGCATGCATTTCGTCATAGGCCGTCGTTTGACGAGCCATGAAATGTTGAATAAATACAACTATGAAGACTCCACATGCAGTTATATCTTTAGAGCGGTTTCCATCTGGCACATGACCATACGGTGCCGCCATGTCTTCACTCATTCCCTGTATCTATAGGTCACATGATGTAGGCCATGTTTGTTCCACTGTCCACGTGCCATGCTCACTTTATTCACAAATTTAGGGGCCGTCCGTAAATATCGAACTTTTTTCACCAAACGAATTGTTTTAGTTTAGACCCAACCCCTCCCTCCCTCCCCTCAGAACGTAAAAAATGTTGACATACATGCATACACAACGGCCATGTACATGAATGTTTTCTGAAACGAAATTGGTCAACCCCCTCCCATCCCATAACCGTTTTGTAAAAAAAGTTCGATATTTATGGACGACCCCTTAGTCACATGACGTCCTGCAAAACCGGGAATTTTCGGTGGTGTAATATTTTCGGAGTTTCGCAAACCAACGGCTTGGTACTGCGAAAATTTCGGTAAAGCAGTTTTCCAGATCCAAGAATGCATTTTGCACACTGTGTGGCATGGCATTGTTGGTCGCGTTGTCTTTTTTTTCAGGTAAACATTATGTCCACCGGAGTTGCAGAAAATACATCTCCACCTAAATTTTACAGTAGATGTGAACACCACTCTGTTGGGCCGGGAAAATGGCGGTCAACACTCGCTGAAAATCTTGTACTCTATCTAGCTGCACACAGTTCTGTAAAATCTCGCAAGCTCCTCTGTTCTTATCATCATCAACAATAAGTAGGTGCCTAGTCGGTGGGTGGCGATATCTTGCTTGGCAGGTCTCTGCATTAGTGCACCCTCATGGCGCATGATTGTCCATGCTATGAAGGGGATCTGCATTTTTTGTCCGAAAGCACCCACGATACGGCATTGGTTTCAGGATCCTCTTCAATCATTCGCTGTGTGCGTTGATTCTTTGCAGGTATGTTCTCGCTGCCATGACAACTTCTATTGCTGTCGCGACTGTCAAAAGGCAAACTGGAAAGAGCACAAGCCGTTCTGTGTGAAGCGAGAGCAATCCAAGGGAGCCATCACTGCTGCTGAGAAGCAGACCAAGACACACAAGGTGAGTTGGCCGAAAAAGTGTATGGTGTGTGTGTGTGTGCGTGAATGTGTGTGTGTGTATGTGTGTGTGTGTGTGTGTGTATGCGTGCATGTGTGTGTGTGTATGTGTGCGTGTGTGTATGCGTGCATGTGTGTGTGTATGTGTGTGCGTGTGTGTATGCATGTTCCTGTGTATGTGTATGCGTGTGTGTGCGCGTGTGTATGTGTGTTTGTGTGAGTGTGTGTGTGTGTGTGTGTTTTTTTTTTGTTTTTTTTTTACTATTGAACACTCACTGCGTGATGAACTAAAATGAGGAGAAGAACTCGACACAATGGTACATATCCAGCAGGACGGAGTGGGTGGGACCTGTGAAGCTCAGCCGACCAAGGGTCTCGGCATCACAGCTGCACATGTGCACCAAAGGAAACAAAATGGGAAGTGGAAGGGCGGGGAGGGGAGCAGGAGAGCAAGAACTCTAAGGGTAGGAAAGAGAGGAGGAGGGGGGGGGGTAGGAAACCAGGAAACTTGTTATTCCAAGATATGAGTGCAAAAAAGTACGCAAACAAGTACGCAAACAAGTACAAATATAGCAGTATCAAGATCATGATGCTGAGGCGAAAGTAGAGGCTGATTGCCGTGCAGATTTGACGAAAGATTAGAGTTAGAATGGAGGAGAGTTAGAGAGAGATAAAGACAGATGGATTGGGAGTTTGATGAGAAGGGAGTGCTCCGAGAACATGAACAGGGTCGTACTGGCAGTAGCCTAGGGGGCGATGTCCGTGGCCAATGACCAACCCGACCGTTTCAGGTAGCGGTAGGTCTGAACCTTGAACTTTGTGTGCACGCACGTCTATGTTTGTAGGTGTGTGCATGTGTGTACGTGTGTGTAGGTTGGTGTGTGTGTGTGTGTGCGTGTGTGTGTGTGTGTGTGTGTGTGTGTGTGTGTGTGTGTGTTCAAGCTAGTTTGGTTGGTGAGCCGGTGGCCACTAGACCCAGCCACTTGAAGGTGTATTGTTCAAACTAACATCTTTGGTGTTGTCAGGGTGCGCTTCACTTTCCCTTTGACGCGTAGTTACAGTACACACAAGGCCGGTCTAGGCAGCTCGAGGTAGAGTGTTCAATGCACAAATAAAAAGTTAACTCTGTTGCGTGTGTAGTTTCAGTATACATACCTGTCGACCACTAGGCATTATGCACGGTGTACAGATGCACGAAATCCCGTAGAATCTTGTAGAATCCCGTAGACCCGGCTGGGTGTTGAATGTGCAGGACCCTATTCTGTTTACTGCTATTTCCACTATGAAATGGGCCCTGAGGGTATTTCACACGAAATCTTTTTTTCCGGCAGGGATCTAGCTAGTCGTTAGTTCAATCCCAAAGTGAAGAAGCTGGAAAAGCGATTGTTTGCCAGGAATTATGTGGCTAAATGGGTCAACCGCGCATGTATAGCACACAATGAACACCCAACCGGGTATGTACACACCTACGACCCTAGTACAGAACTTCGTACATCTGTACAACGTGCATAAGGACCATCGGCTACTTTTGTCCTGTGCGTGTTTTTGTTCTCTGGTTGCAATCCTTGCAGGCTCCTAAGCCTGGCAGGGGTAAATCCATTCAAGAGAACAGCGAGGAGTACGAGGAGCATCTCAAGGACAACCTGCCCAAGAAGTACCACAAGTATGTTAAATCTCTCCTGGATTGACCTTTCACCTTCACTGATCCAGGGGCCTGGTACAATCGTTATCCATCGTACACACTGAAGTGTCGCTGGAGCCGAGACCTCAGGTCGGCGGAGATGCTCCAGTTTCACCACCACAGTTGCGTCTGCAGCCATCTCTATCGTGCAGTACTCTGTTCTCGAGGTTCGTGGTTTCTCGTAAAAAAAAGAAAGAAGAAAAAACAGGTGATATTGAAGAGGTCGTCTTGCTATAGATGCCAGACAAGCGTAAAAGAGCAGGAATTCCTGCTGACGCTTGTGTGGATGTACACGCACTGAGGCCTTGCTAGACTTGATGGAGTGCACATCGATTGTCAGCTCAGCACCGTAGAGCGCTGCATCGCCGGCATCAGTCCTGCTCGTGCACGCTACTGTATTTGATTCCATCAGCGGCTTTGTTCAAAAATGAAACGTTCCTGCGTAAATCTGATATTGTTGTTTTTTTTGTCAATACTGGCTATAAACTTTAAATTCCTAACCTGTAAATAAACTGAGGCCAATCGACAATATCCTGACAATTCTCTTTACTAATCCGTCAGTTGACTTCACTTCTTCACAATGTATACACCACCGCAGGCAACCAATCACTTGTCCCTGCTGTCTTTATCCGTACACGGCTTGAGGGATGATATTCGTAATGCTATCATTGATAATTATAGTTTTTTTTCCTCTATTTTCCCGAATATGGCAGCAGCAGCACACCTATTACTTGTAATTTTTAGAAAGGTCCCGAGCACTGAGTGCATTTCGAACAGTCTGGCTGAGATCAGTTTCTCTGTCATAGCTATAATATTCTTGTTGGTTCGCTTATCTTCCCACACATGTACATGATTGTACATGCCTCTGACGTTATGAAGTTGTCAACACAGATAGCAATAGTTTGAAGGATAGTTGTAGTACTTTGCTACTAAGAAGCACTGGATATTTCGTTAAGTATGAGTTTTTGTTCTGTTTTAGAATTTCCATCTGATTTTGATAGTCGAGCGTCAGCCTTCAGCTAGCAGACTATCCCGCTGTCGCTCCACAAGGACTGCGGAAACTGCAGTTTTGTGTGCATGTGTGTGTTTTTCTGTCTCTCTGTTGGTATGTGCATGTGCATGTGTGTGTGTGTGTGTGTGGGTGTGTGTCTGCCTGCATGTCTATCTGTATGTGCAGACGTGCGTGTGTGTGTGTGTGTGTGTGTGTGTGTGAAAAAGAAAAAAATGAAAAAGACCAAAAAAAGGGATTCACTGGCCAGAAAATGTCACTCCAAATAGCTGTATGGTGTAGACCAGGCTGAATGGTGACGGTCAATTCTTCAGCCTTGCAAGCTGTTGAATGGTGTAATCCCAGCACAAGTTGCTATGGCTTCTGCCGTAGCATTGCTATCATCGCCTCCGGCGATGGGCGTCAAAGGTCAAAGGTCAAAGGTGTGTGTGTGTGTGTGCGTGCGTGCGTGTTCCTATTCACATGGCTTTGCAGGTTGTGTGGATTAGACAGTCATCTGGTGCTAGTCTTGATCTGTCTCATTCAGACCTTGTCCGCTATCGTTGCCGTGAGAGACGATCTGTGGGTGCGCATCCAGTGCATGTGCAGATTTGTGTGCTTCTCTTGCAACGGGCGTACATGTATACATGGTACAGCTGTACATGGTGGTGTGGGGGTGGGTGTGTGCGTACAATCTGTGGGTGCACATCCGGTGCATTTGCGGATTTGCGTGCTTCTCTTGCGACGGGTGTATACATTGTGGTGCGTGTGTGTGTGTGTGTGTGTGTGGTGTGCTAGCTAATTCGGTAGCTACTAGTATGTATTATAATTATTGTTAGATTGACATCATGGAACAAGGTGGATTATCTAATACTAGTTTTGAACTACAGTGCTGGCAACTGAAATCCATCCCCCTGACTCGCTCAGGAGGTCGGATTTCAGTTGCCAGCACTGTAGTATTGGGTTATAATTACAATACTATTATAATAATAGTACATGTATGTACACGTATTAGTAGTAGCTAGTAGTACATGTACATGTAGCCTTTGTAGGTAGGGAACAGATTGTACCAACAACACTAAAAAATACATTGTACACGACTGGGTGTCATAATTATTTTAGGGCTGTTGGCACGCACTGTTCACACCAGGGAGTGTATTTTACTACTCCCTGCTTCACACACTTCAGCATGTGGTCGAAGTTAGCTGTAGAAATACCCACCCTCTTTTACCAGTCTTGAGGTAGGCAGTTGGTAGAAGAGGCGTGCCATGTTCCTATTTTCTGGCCTTTCACCTCCAAGACACTGGTATTTGTTACCTCCTTGTACCAACAGCCCAAACCTACCTCCGGGGAGGTGCTTTTCACACGTTATCTACACCATGATACGTGTCTACCGTACCTGCAGCCGAAATTCCAACAATGCCAGGTAACGAATTCATGCTTGTTCACACCTTTAATACCGAAATTATAGAAATAGATCTACTACATGTATACAGTATACCACAGAACATTTACATGTACATGTATGTACTGTACGCGTAATTGTACCAGAATAATATTATGTTTGGAAAGCAACAGTTCGGATGGCGAGGTGCCAATATACACTGGGACAAGAATGGTCGCTGAGAAGTTACTTGTTGGTCCTCCGAGTTTAAACTTTGGAATATCGTCGGCCAACAAACTAACTTGTCTCATTTTATTCCCAGTGTATAAACATCTACATATACAATGTATGCACGTTGTAAATTCGTGCAGCACGACACGAATGTTATCTCTATAGACTAGTAGAGTAAGTGGATGATAAAAGAAGGTAAGCAACAGCATTCCGACATGAATGTGGTCGGCTATAGAGCGCAACGGTGATGAAGTCAATGCGTTACTGTAGTCTGTATGTTACAGTAATACGACAGTAAAACCTGTCAAGGCGACCACTCGGATAAGGCGACCACCTGTCCCAGAAGACCACTGTAACCAGGACCAAGGGCAAGGAATGCTATTTCCAGTCAAACGACACTGGATGAGGAGACCACCTGGTCACTACGACCACAGTCATTTTGAAGGTCCCTTGTGCGATCGTGTTAGACAGGTTTCACTATAATGTCTTTATATTTTTTGCTCACGAAAATCTGCTGGATTAGGGAGGGTGCTGGATTAACAAATCTGATTTACTGCTGCAATGTGCATGAAGAGGACATTTTAGCTACTGAAAATTGTGCTGGTTTATCGAGGGTGCTGGATTATAAAGTGCCGGATTAGAGAGGGACGACTGTAATAGCAAACAAATACCAAACCCGGACATGTTCTACTACTAGTACTACTAGTACATGTACTTGTGATCAGTTACCCTTGTTACTAGTACTGTAGTGACTCGATGGGCATGACACTTTGACAGTGTACGTACATGTACATCACTGTACTGTGTACATGTACATGTACATGTACAATATGTACCCGTCGCCATGTACATGTAACATCTTCTTGACTTGTTGCGACCTCATTTTCCTTGCGCCACTGAAATGTTGTCCCTCAGACCACTCCGGATACTGTACCAGTATTATAAAGTTGAATACAATGTATTGTATTCTCAACAGGGCATGCCCATTGCCATGATTGGTAATGGGCATGTGCAACCAAGAGTATTAGTATTCAACCCCCTCCCCAGCTTATACTATTGGTACATGTAGGTCTACAACTAAACCAAGACTGCGGCAAGAGTATCTCCCAAGACAGGCAAGAGTGCTAGTGTGCAACTCCTGATACCTTTTCTATGGGGTCCTCCGACGGCGAAAACTCACATCACATGGTGGTGTAGTGTCCCAGACTCCCGTTTGTACATGTACGTTTCCAGCCCGTCATAATCACTGCAGATTTTCGGATTGCGCGCCTGCTACATTGTAAGTGCTAACCTTTTTTTTAAATATACACGTGATGTACATTGTAAGTTTTCGCCGTCGCCGTCGTAGACCCCATACAGAGTTGCACACTCTTTATTATTTTTGCTCTTGCCTTGGTACACTGTACACGTACACGTACAGCAGTACATGCCTATTCTGGTCGTGGAGCTGGAATGAAGAAAAACCACGATAAACACACCGTGAATGCGGAGGTCGAGGGGCGGCGAAACCATTCGCGCCTGCACCCTGGAGGTGCTGATTGCAGTCCTGTCCGTGCCAAGGCTACTGCCCTCGGACTAGGCGAACGCATTGATTGCTTCTGAACATTGGTCTGGTGCATTGATCGCCTTTGAGTATTGGCCGTGAGAGTGTCCCCAGTTTTTCCCTCCTACAAATGCCACGTTGCTGGGCATGTGCATCCAGCATACGCCGTGGCGCATGGCCTGGAGCATACGCCGTGGCGCATGGCCTGGAGCATTCATATCTGACTGGTGCCTGAAAGCTTATGGTTGCAATTCATAATAATAATTATTATTGAGAAGATGATGTTTGGGTGTGTGCTGAGGCAGAAGCACGCCTCTACAGAATACCACTCCTAGTCTTGGTGTAAGAAAAGGACTTGCTCTTACAATGAGAGTGGCTAACCAATGGCTTGTACGTGTACATGCACCAACTCTTTGAACAATATTCCGCCGATTTTCCGGCCAGCAAGCATTATCCACCAACGGCTGGCATACAAATGTACATGTACATGTGAATGGGTATCACTTCAGAGGTCACTGGTCAGTGCTTCGAAGAGTCGCGATACATGTATCATTATTGTACATGTACAATGACTATTCACAGAAGCTACAGTGTAGAGTACAGAGTGCTGTTTTGGCACCGTTACTTACGCCCCGCAGTCTCGCACGCATGTTCTTGAATCCCAGCCCATAGGGCCATATCCAGGATATCTCCGGCACAAACCAGACACCGATTTTGCACTTTTAACTTTACTATCGGTACTCCTCGTGCGGAGCCAGCTTAGGCCTGGAGCTAGCTTAGCTCCGCACAAGTAACTATGGATACCCCACACTCTTGCCTACAATTATACATGTACATGTACAATGTAGGCTGGAGTGGAGTCACTCTTGACTGGGCCTGGTCTAACAGTAAGTGGTCTTCAAGTCTTCAATACTGTAGTCTACATCGGGGAGTCGTAATAGCTTTTACGACTCCCTGGTCTACATTTGTACATGTACATGATTGTACAATCATGCACATGACATGTACATGACGTAGGCACGAATGGGGTTTGCTGAACGTCATACATGTACATGTACATGTACAGTAACACCTGTAACTACAGACCACCGTAAATAGCGACCAGCCTGGTTCTACAGACCACTTTACCAGGCGCGAACTGTCTCACATTCACTATAATTATGGTTGTGCGGTGCTAACCTCTAACTAAGGACCACCTGCCACTAAAGACCGCTTTCTCTGGCTCCAACTCCAAGGGGTGGTCGTTAGTTACAGTTTTACTGTGTATAGTAAAACCTGGTTTAAGCGACCACCCACGATGCAAGCAAAAGCGGTTGTTAAAAGCCAGGTGGTTTTTAGAACCAGGTCTGTGTAGAACTATCGGTGCATGGAAAAACGATTTCTAAGCTAAGGGGCAGGTGGTCGCTAAACCCAGAGGTCGCTTACACCAGGTTTTACTGTTCAAGAATGTACATTATGACTGTATTGTACATCATGTACATGTACATGTACATGTACATGTACATGTAGCTTCACCATGGACTTGTACTTCCAGTCCATTTGAAAACTCAAACTGAACTGGCCCTAGACTGGATCATGGAGTGAGAATACGAGAGAGTTGCCCGGCGTAGTGTTGCCCTGGCGTGAGTGATGTCGTCAAGACCGTCAATCATCACATCCAGGTATCAAAACATGACAAGACGGTTGTGACCAGATGTGCCGTACGATGATCACTGAACCAAGCCCAGATGCTAAAGATAATGTTGTTATGTCTATCGTCCACAGAAACAGACACCCTGGCGCGCGCTGCAGTGTGTCGAGTAACTATTCTGTAACACAAAATGCATTGGTATGGGACACTCAAGATTTTCCGTTCATCATCATTGTTTGTACATGTACATGTATTTAACTTACATGTACATGTACATGTACATCCCGTACTTCTTCATGCAATAGTGCCTAGACTTGTAGGGACCGGCGGATTCTGCTCGAAAAGGTGGCAGATTCTGCTCGAAAAGCAGTGAAATTAATTGGCAGAACCATACAAACCTTATGGCGGGCAATTCCTCGAATTCTGCTCCATTTTGTTATCCACATACCAAACATGCATGAAACTTACCAGAAAAAGTAGCGAATTCTGCCAATATTTCTGCCGGCAGAATCCGCCGGACCCTAGCCTAGAGCCTTTACTTAGAGGAAGTCTACAAAGTCAATGCCAGGCAATGCAAGGCATGACCATAGTGATTGGAACTGCCGACTTGACGCAGATGGTATCTTAATCAACTAACGTGTTACTTTTTTGTTACTTGCCCGTTTATAAAAGTACCCTGTTTTGTTTCCATTCGCTTCCATGTATTACTATTAGTAAATGGGCGGATACTAAAATAATGAAAGCATGATTATACACTGTATGTAGCATATTTATATTTTTTCTAGATTATATCTAGCATATTTAGCACTTTCTGGAAACTAGCTAGCATGATCCGACAAGTGTTCATTTATAATAAAGACTAACGGTGGATATTTCTGTGGACACTTCTCACAGACTACCGGTAGGCATTGTGTTTGTTATCATTTTTAAAGGACATGGCATGATGCATGTAACTAGGCGCAAACGCAGCTATTCACCTGTTACCATGGTTACCAGGGAGCAGGTAATAACCACAGACACAGTCAATTCTCGCCTTCGCACGTAGCCCAACACCCAAACAGTTCATCTATATTAAAACTCGGTGGCTTTTTGTCAATAGTAGAAAAAAATGAGAACGACTATCGTTCCACATCAGCCGTGTTTCCAGTACCTACATGTACATGTACATGTCTTGTATACAACTGAGTCTGTGCCAACAATGACCTGCCGCGGTTCGGGCTGCTTCCGGCTGGGCTGCAAGGGAACTGCCACCACAGGCATACGTGCACAGGCCAGGGCCCAGGCTAGCCTAGCGCTAGGGAGCCAACCCCATTTTGGGAGCTGCATAAAATATTATTACGGGCAACACTCTCATCATACATCAATGCTGCAGCCAGCCTACAACGCGTGTGGTGCAGGTGTATTTTCAGTATACAGCACAAATGACATGTCCCTTTTCAGATAAACATGATGTTGTATTGGACTGACTCTGTGTCACGCATTGGCATACCACACAGTCATGACAAAAATTTAATTCAGAAGACAGCACTCGTCTCAGTAAAAATGCTTGAAAGACCGAAGGGAAGCGAATGGCCGAGGCCAGGAATCGAAAAATGTCCATCCCTCTCCGAACGCCCACGGCGCAGCTGTAACATGAGAACGGGAGCAAAGGTCCCACGCTGCCTGTGCAACTCTCGATCTCCCTGTTTTCCTCATTTTCTGTGTCGCGGACGGCGCTGTGCTAGGCTAGCCGGCTGTGGTCTTGCACGGTAAAATCTGGAATGAGTAGATCTACGCACTGACAGTGACAAGTGACATGATCCCGTAGAGTTTTTCCTACTCGTAGTCAAACGAGGTGTGTATGCGTGAAGTGAATGCTGAAAACACGAGAAGACGCGTGTCATGATGTCCGTGTACTCCGCCGACGTCGTTCAGCTTGCTTGCGCAAGCACGGACAAGCCTCATCTCGATCTCTCCATGGACCCAGTTCACTGGTTTGCTTCGCACTGTGCATACATGCACAAAGCCACACCACATGATGCAGCTAGCTCCGGGAGAACACGAACGAGACGACAAGGAAACTGAGACTGTGAGAGTAGAACAAAGCTGCATGCGACACTCCACCCTGTCACAGCTAGTAGTAGCAAGCTTTTTCAAAAGTGGACGCTTTCAACGGTCTCGCCAGAAGTAAAGAGAAAACCTCCCGGAGGAAAGAGCTCTTGACTTTTCTACTCCGGCGGTATCCGTGGGCAGTTGCAAACCCCTGAGAGTGAACGAATTTAGCCCTGCGATAAGCAGCTACATGCCGCGCTGCGAGAACAGTTCCAGGCGATAATCGGCTCTTGCTCTCGTTTGGCACACAAAAAAGGTGTGAGACTCCGTCAGATCGGACACTTTCTCTCTCAGTCATCTCTAGCGGATGTTAGGATGGCGTCGTGTTTCAGCTGTGCCATCAGGAAGAAGGAAGGTAGGTTGGTGTGCGCGCTAGTTGTGCTTGATCATCGCCACAGACACCGTGAGTGGTACGGACTTGTGGTTGTGCATGCCACTTTGCGGATGGTCCTTGATCAAATAATGCGCGTAGGCAGCGCCAAAACACGGTGTTTGTACTATTGTAGTGTCCTGCATGCCAAGTGGAAGATGTCACAGTTGTAGTCGTCTGTCGAACCCTCATTCTACGCAGTGTGACGCACAATACGAAGTTACTGTCAAGTACTAACATTATTCAGAATGCGTTCTTGACTTCACCCTCTCAAACTCTGAAGCTCGACTACTGTCTTCTCGTGGCGAGTTGTCAGGTTTTGGCAGCATCGGGCAGCGAATGTTTGTCCGCAAACTGACGACTTCATCAAGGGACTTCTTGTCGCGCAGGGCATAGTATGGAGTGTAAAATCGCTGTAGCGCCAGATTGTTGCATGAGGCGAGTCGCACCTCGCGGAATCGTTCAGCACCTGTGGGGTTGTTCATTGCGTTGGTCTACCCTGCCAAGCCATTCATTCTGGCTCTTTGAGCGGGTCACTTGTGCTCCACAGGCATGCAGTGTTTCAGAATTTTACGCCACGACTCGTCGTCAGGCGTCTTTGTTGCAGAATGTAACAAAGCTTCAAGGCCAATTGGTCGTTTCATCTTTAGCGAGCTTCGCTTTGAAACGAGCCACAGCCCCGCTGCAATTCTGGCTGAGGATTGTCTAATTGGCGAGCGCCCGCAGAGTCCAATATCAAACTTTAGTCGTAGCGCACTGCCAGGAGCTTTGAGTTTGGTTCGAAAGTAAACGCGGAACAGCTGCGCTGTAATCTCCTTCACTAACAGTTCATTTGTAAAGACCTGTTGGAAGTGCTACTTCAGTCACTTCTTATTGTTTGTTGAAATTTCTCCCTTTTGTTTTACCTTGTTTCGGTGCTTACGACTGAACTGTTGTTGTTTTCCCGGTATGTGCGCTGTGCCCGTGCGCTTCCATCTAGCCCGCCGGCAGCTGGCAGAGCCCGGAACACCGTTCGGAGAGCTAGAAGATGAGGACGGACGACTTCTCGCCCAGTTCGCCATGCGGGCCAAGATGTCGCCAGTACGCTCAGCCGACGTTAGCGCCCAGGACGTCCATCGAGTGGTCATCCAGGACTTTCTAGCGTGCGTCGAGGACGAAGTGGAAGTCAGACGTGGGGACTGCGTTCGGGAACTGTTCCGTGACGGAGATTGGATGTTCGTAGCGACAACGGCAGGACAAACTGGTTTCATTCCAGCAAGTTACTGTCGACCAATTTCGGCGCTGATAAACTTGCCGAAAGGCAGTTCCTCTTCAATCTCTTCCGCGTCGTCGAATCGTCCTAGTGCCGACTCTGGAAGCCCGGTCTCGATGGGCCTAGCCAACAGCAGTAGCTCTCGATCGTCTGTGATCAGCGCCTCGTCGTCTCTTGCAGTGTCGGACAGCTCGCCGAATGGCAGTGTGCGGAGGCGCAGCGGGGCGTCGCAGTCTACGAGCCGACTAGCGACGCACGGACCTGGCATTCACGGCGGCGACTCGTACGCCTATTGGAATGGACGCAACGGAACGGATACGACTGACAGTAGCCGGGCGCCATCGCGATCTCTGGGCGCCCGTCACAGAGTCTCACTGCTGGCAGCTCTGGGAGATGATGAGTTGGCCAGACAGCGTATCGGCCTGCAGGAAGCATCAGGTTTGGATGCTGGGTCGGGGTCCAATTGCCCGTCCGGCCCCACCTCGCCCGAAAGCAATGGCAGCTCCCAGCTGAACTCGCCGAGTCGTCTATCACGCCGCTACAGTCTGTATGACTCCAGTCCCAGCAGTCCCAGCAAGAGCATCGACAGTGTCTCGATTCTCTCCAACAGCCCGAGGAAGTCCAGCGCCCCAGTACCCACCCAGTACCAGCATTCGCCGGACCATTCCATGGCATCGCCTAGTCCGCAATGTCGACGGCGGGTGACGAATCGCGGCAGGCAGAGCCGGCGCACATCGGCCGATATGGACCGCAACTCGCCTCAGCCATCCATCTCCTCTTTACCAGCTGTGGTGAAAAAGGTGAGATTTGCTGTCGCATGACATAATATTCGATGGCAAAAAAACTCCAGCCTATGCTGTACACGGTAGTGTAACACATGCATTACCGCTGCACATACCTATCATGTACATACCAGCATGGTCAGTGCACTGCTGGTAGCTCTACAGCAAACACTTGTAAAAGCATGCATGCTGGCATGCGGCACCGTCGTGTCCGCGTACCACGCCACTGTATCGGCATTGGCCGGTTTATTTTGGTGCCGACTGTTCAACAACAGTGGAACCTGTCTATGCCGATGGCTCAGTGAAACTTCAAAATGTGTGATTCCGGTGCACTGGTGGCTTCATATCCAGGATCATTTGACTGGATACGACATCCATCAATTTTGGTGCCAGTTTATAGTTGTTCTCTGTGACAGTTGGTCTCTATGACAGTTGTACTGTATAGTAGAGTACCATTGATCCACCCCCACTCTGCCCAACTTCCTGCCTGATCTTTAGGCAGGTGGTGGGAAATCAATGGCGGCTGTTCAGTACCATACGAAAACCTGAAAGATCTCACTTGAGGTGCTACATTGTACACAGTTTCATTCAAACGCATACATCCATACATGCATTGATCCGGCGCCAAATTTTGTTGCTGTATACATTGACGCGACTTCACAAGTAAGACATTTGACAGGTGTGAAAATTAGAGAAGGGGGAAATCAACGGTGTTCAATGGTATAATGGACCGTTTGTAGATAATCATAAAATAATGTGCTCATTTCGTCTGGGAAAAAATTCATTTTAGCTGATGTTCAGTATAGTGTCTGAAGTGCGAGATTAATAGTAGTTTAGTACTGTGTATAGGGTAACAGTCATCGAGCAATCTATCTCTGCCCTAATTTTATGAATGGTGTACTAATGGCATGTGATCAGACGGCCCCTGGCGGCACGGAATTCTGGAATTCACGAAATATTATTGTGGAATTCAAATTCTCTGTCTCTCGAATGCAATAGCCTGCGATGAACGCCTTGCTGGTCTTTAAACGGTGCGGTGCGTGCAATATGCATGACCCGTCCAGCTATCTGGACTGAAAAGGTGGAAAAGCAGAATTCTACTTCAAAATATCAGGCATGATAGCACTCCATATCTTGCATACCAGCATACCTCACTTGTGCACCTATGTATTCCAATTGAAGATACTTCCAAGCATAGGGCACTTTTTTCTTCTATTTTTAAGGCTTAAAGCACACGATCCTACTGATGATATGGGGCAACAGTAACATGGGACAGAAGACGAGGACAAACAGACAAAAGGGGTAGGACATGCAAAAGCAAGGTGTAGGTGAGTTCAGCTAGTCTGACCAGAGGTCTCCGCTGAGTCAGCACGGGCTGCGCGCACTCTTTACACCTAGAATGTCCAGTACCCAAAAATGAATGACACCTACTTGTTAGTAAATGGCAACTTTTCCACAGTCTGCATTCATACCACGACTGGCATGCAACATAAATAATCTGCCTTTTCTGTTATCCTGTTTGTCATCAGGTACGGCTTGCCTATAACTTCCAGGCCAACAAGGAGGGTGAGCTGTCGCTGAGCAATGGTGATGAAGTCGCCGTTATCCAGGAACAGAGCAAGGACTGGCTGCTGGTGGAGACGGACGATGGCAGGCAGGGACTGGTGCCGACATGCCTGACGATCACCGTGTCCGCAGTACACGCACCAGGCCACAGTGAGTCTAATATTTTTTTCCCCCGATTGTTTTTGTATGATTGGGAGCATGAAAACCCCTACACAGATCCTGATGATAGCTCCTGGCAAAATATTTGATGGAAATTTTCAGCACAGAGACCACTTGCTTTGAGGATGGAGTGTGTAGGGTTTGCACACCACAGTAACTATGAATGAAACATGTAGAGTAAAACCTGTCATTAACGACCACCCCTTGGGGCCAGAAAAGTGGTCTTTAGTGGCAGGTGGTCTTTAGTTAGCCGTTAGCACCGCGTCACCATACTGTAAATATACAAAATTTCGGCGCTGCAAAATTTCGGCACTGCACGATTTTTGACATTTCGGCGGCGATTTATTTTCGGCGTGGGGTAGAGGGCATCGTATAGTGCGACAGATGCTGTGAAAAATTTCATCAGCGTTTTAATTTAGGCGTTTTGGGTCGGTGCCGGATATAGCCGAAATGAAATAGCTGCCGAAAATTTGTATATTTACAGTATATGTATCCCCTTCTGTGATATGTACCGGTATGTCGAAATGCAGCTAATACCATTCCCGCCACTTGCGCAATCCCATTTCTCCTTCGAGCAGTAACATCGATCAAAGAGAAGATTAGATGCGCTCTCCAAGACGTATACTATCATGTTTGCTCATGACGGCACTTGAAACCATGACGGGTGCAGTGCAGCCCACAGTCGAAATGAGCGTGCGCTCATTTGTTCAGTTGTAGTATCGAAAGAGTCCAGTCAGGACCGTGGAAAATCATCAAAATTTCAAAGAAGGAGCTTCAAACAACCATTGATTTCCTACATCGCATCCTGTTGTGGGCCAGCTAAACTAGGGCTTTTGTGTGAGGGTTTTTTTCAAATTGGGTGACATTTTAGGGCTCGCAAACAACCAGGCCAGTATTGCCGAAAATATGGTATCCATGTTTTTGTGTGCGTGTTTTCTTCTCCTTTTTTCTGCCCGATGTACAGATTCTAAGTCGAGAAGCTCTGCAACCCTGAACATCAAACGTACTGGTGGCGGTGGCAGCGACGGAGACAAACCTCAGCCGACCGCCGCGGTGACGTCGAGCGACAGCTACAGTGACTCCACGGACGGCTCTCGCAATGCTCGCACACTGACCAACAAGCCCTCCGGTGGTAGCTCAGCGGCGGCGACAAAGATTGGCAACGGAGATATGTGTGCAAACTCTCCAGCGAATATTACCGGTTTGAGTCATCTCTCTCAGGAGGATGATGATGACCGCTCGGCCACGCTGACTCGTGCTAACGTCAGCCAGCTTCAAGGCAACCAGACTCTCCAGCACCAACAAACTCGCTATGAGGATCTGTACAATTTTGCACATGACAGCCACCACCAGCAGCAACCTCAGCAGCAGCAGCAACGGGCCGAGACCGCGCACGGACACCGCACTGGTTCGTCGCCGACACGACTCGGGTCGAAGCGTCGCTCCCATTCGGCTAGTCGCACCACGCTGCATCGCATCACCGTGGACGAGAGCGTGCGTGCGGTTTCGCCCGGTCACAATAGCGACGGAGAGACGGGTTCGTCTCGCACGTCCTCAATCAGTAAGTTCTTTGGCAGGGGAAAATCTCGCAAGTCATCAAACACGCCTTCCTCTCAGCAGCCTGCGAACCTGACCGGCAACTGCAGTAGTAGTGCTGCTGGTGGTGGTAGCGGAGGCTCTGACAGAGATAGTCTTCGTGAGCCGGTCGTCTACAGTGCAGGTCAGGACGCTGATCATCTAGCTCACGCATGGCGTAACAACCAACCGGCGTACCATCGGCAACGCTCTCGCTCGTCTTCGCGCACTGGAATACATCGCATCGACAACTCCAGTGCCGTGATCGCGGATACGTCTGTAACTCCGCAGTCGACAGCGAACCACAGCGTTCCGGCCGTGTCCATGACCATTGTCACCAACGTCGCTAGCTCTGGTGTTAGCTCTGGTAAATCAGTAACGGCATCTCCACAATCTGGCACTAAATGCGTAACTGCAATGAGCAAACCCATACCGGTCGGTAATGCCGCCGTGTTCACCACAAGCCAATCAGTGGAGCACCATCGCTACGAAAACGAAGTGGAGATTGCCAAACAGCACGGTCGCAGCGCTACCCTGCAACCCGGCACTCGGCCACCCACAGCGCCGGCTACGCCCAAACACCAACGCAGCGTCGTGCACACACGTGCGCCGAGCCTTGCCGGTGATATGCCACCCTCGCCTTCGCTGTCCTCGCCGTCGCCGCGACCTCCGGAAACTCAACAGCGACAGCTGCGCGTCCTGTTCAACTACACCGCCATGGTTGCAGAGGAACTCAACGTTCACTCCGGGGACGTGCTCGCGGAAGTCCCGTCCAAGTCCAAACCCGGCTGGGCGTGGGTGACGGAGCCGGGCACGAAACGCCAGGGGTATATACCCGTGGGCTTCACCGAGACCTACGTACCACCTCCGCCGCCCCGAAAGCCCTCCACCGGCAGCAGCAGCAATATGCCAGCAAAGACCACCACCACCACCACCAGCGGTATAACCTGCACCCAGGATGCCGTGGCGCAGGTCAACCAGGTAGCCGCACAGTTTCACAAACAGACATCCGGAGAGCTGTGCACCACTATTTGAGTGTACTGCGCCATTCAGCACTGGGAATACTACTGGCAGTGTACGGGCATCAAGCTATGTATGGGATCTACTCACAGTGTTCGGCCATCACGCCATGAGATGTACTGACGGTGTACAATCGGCACCCAATGAGATCTGCGTATAGTGTACCACCATCATGCAATCGAATCTACTGTGTTTGACCATCAGCTATGGGATCTACTTACAGTGTTTGCCAAATCAGCTATGGGATCTACTTACAGCGTACGACCCTCAAGCCACGGGATGCAACGTGCATCTGCTGACAGAACTACACATTTTGTAGTAAACAATTGTCTGCAACAACGTGCGCTTGATGCAGGCAAGCGAGTTTCCATACGTTGAAGTATACGACTACATCAGAAACCGATAGGGAACTTTTCAAATATTACGTTTACGTACACTATTGTTATTTAAAGATGTGTTATAAGAGAGTTAGGGGCAGAGGTGGTCGTTCTTCAGGAGTAAGAAAGTGACTACCTCAGTTAATTGTGGAGATCCGCAAGTCTGGCGGGCGCAGGAAGATAAGGGCTTCGTGCATGCTGTATGGTTACGCTTTCCCTTTGTGTAACAACGCTCGCTGCACAGTTACATGAATATGCTGTTGTGAAGAAACTCCTGCCCGGTCTATCTTGCAATCTTGCATTGACTCGGCCATTTGGTTACTATTAGAAGTTTGTTTTCTTTGTAGCTTGCAGTGTAAAAGCATCACAAATACAAGGTGCGTAGAGTTCTCGTTCGTCGGTCTATCTTGCAATCTTGCATTGACTCGGCCATTTGGTTACTATTAGAAGTTTGTTTTCTTTGTAGCTTGCAGTGTAAAAGCATCACAAATACAAGGTGCGTAGAGTTCTCGTTCGTCGCAGATGCTAAGTAATTTAGTTGCTACTTATGAATATACTAAATACTGGATAAATCTACTGAGAGCAATGCATTCTTATAAGGCATATTATACTATTTATGTTGTATAAACTCGCAGCCCTAGTCGTCGCTTGTTTAGACTGCACCGCCATTGCTTTGTGTATTTGGTTTTATCAAGTAGGATCACAAGCAACATTCAGTATGCATAAATATAAGATATACAAGATCATCCTAATAATAATTATTATTATGACATCATTGAATGTGTGCTGTACAAAAGGAAGGGAGTACGGTCGGGGTACAAGAAACCACTACAAGCGAGCCGAAAGCAACTCGTGCAGATGCATGAAATAGAAACATTCTATTTTCACTCTTGCGTCGTTGGATCTTTTTGGCCACAACTGTACTTTTTGCAGTACAGTTCTGGCGTCCGGGTGCAAATCGTGTGGGATATTTGCTGCCACAGTGCTCGAAAATATTGATCCGTGTAAACGAGGCAACATAGTGGCACTTTACATTTGAATATCCCCACATCAGCCACCATCATACCAGAGCATATTCACAGAGAACGGCCGCATATTCACAGAGAACGGCCAACAACGCAACATTCCAACTCACTACAATGGCAGGCATTTTTCGGGCACAAGATGTACACTGACAGCACCAAGCATGTATTTCTCAGATGGGGTGTGATGAAATAAATTTAAAATATTTTTTCAACCCCTCAACCTTTTGAACATCTTTTTATCAGGAAAGAATCCTCTACAGGAAGAGTAAGTGCCTCAGTGTACATCTTACACCTCATCATCCATTCCTAAAACATGTTCATGAAGATAACCATCTATAAACATGATGTAGATCAATTAGACGCGCATATCAAAAATCTACAGATGACAATCAATTACATGTGCTCAAGGATCATGTGAAAAAAATATTTAAAAAAAACAGTGTTGGCTCAGGTACAAGCACATGGATGCAATGCAGGATGCTAGACTAGTGTATAGAGCAGCAGCAGCAGCTATGCTTGGCTGACAGGCTGGTGTGATAGGCTGTGCAATTTAGTTCTCTCCTACACCACACAGTGAATGATGCTATGCGGCGCGAAGACAATAACTTTAATAAGGCAATAAGCAGAATCAGCGAAGCGGACATTGGACGTAGTCATGAACAAAAATAAAAGATGGATAGAAAAAGTTGGATAAAAAGTTTCCGAACACGTTTTCTAGAGACATTCATCAGGGGAAATACGTCTCAATACTGAAATCTAGGAATGAACAACGATATATACGTGGAAGAGTACGAAATGCAGTATGTGAAAGAAAATAGGAGAAAAAGAAGGTGAAGTGTGAAACTAAGTACAGAGGTGGGGAGGTGAGAAATAATAACAATGTGAGACTCAGAGAGGATGAAGTGTACGCGCATGGGTATGTAGGTGCTTGTATGTGCGTGTGTGTGAATGCTAAGAGAAAAGTCTAAGTTTAGTGACATTTTCTTTCTGGATGCATAGGTTGGGGTTATGTTTGCGAATGAAAACAGCTTCCAATACACCTTGCATCTGTCCACTGTTGGCCTCAACATCCTCGTCCTGCTCTCCATCACTGCCAGTACCCTCATCGTCCGTGGTCTGCCGATCCTCATCCTCCGTCAATATTGTTGTCACGTCCGTGGCTGCTTCAGGTCATGTACATATACATGCCAATTTGCCAACACAGTCAATGATGCATGTACACGTATGCTGGTGTGTGCAACGACTTGGGGAAATTGCCAGTCTGGGACCACCGGGTATGGCTAGTCGTCAGTGACTTACAGTGACATTAGTGAGCGTTCTTCTGGGGAGGCCTGATCAGAGCGGGAACCGGCCACGTTTGCTCTTTGAGAAACAATGCAAAGCACACGCACGCACGCCCATGCACAAGGCACCCATGAAAGAAGGCACACACATACATGTACATGTACAAAAACGGGCACACACACACACATGGACACGCCCGCGTTCACACACACACACACACACACACACACACGCATGCACACACATGCACACACGCACACGCGTGGACACACACGCACACACACACACAAACATTATATCTGCATGTACCTCGTTTGCAAGAGACGAACGCAAATCTGAAAACCCACAGCATGTACAGCACTGCTCCATACAATCCGATCGAGCCAATGCCATGCCATGCCATGTCATGCCATGCCATGCCATGCCATGCCATGCCGGATGCCATGCCATGCCGGATGCCATGCCATGCCGGATGCCATGCCATGCCATGCCATGCCATGCCATGCCATGCCGGATGCTGTGAAGCCCTAGACTTGGATGTAAACTGGTGCAGGGCGCAAACTCTAACTTCATCGGATTTCATTAGTAGCAGTGCTGTACATCCACAAACTTTAATGTTCTTTTAGGCTGTACTCACACTACTTGAAAGTTTGACGCGAATGTCGCGTTCAAAACTAGACAAAAGTACTTGAAAAAGCCTTTCCAAGCACACTGCACTCCAGTGACGACTTGAAACATTTTGTCAGCAAATTACTATGGAGAAACATGATTGTCATGTGGTAGTTTTGCAAATCCCGAGGCTGCGTTCCTTCAATTTTTTTGCGCTCGATCAACTTATTTGAAATTTTCAGTTCATGAGAAAAATAGAAACAGTTATATCTTGCTTGGATCGTGGAGTTCATTCGCCTTGCCTCGCGAAGAAGTAGCACATCGTCGACGTCGACGGATGGAGAGGCTTCTCTCCATAGCTCGATGAGCTTCTTCTCCAAGTCGTCAGAAAACACTACGCGAGGCATGATGTCGGTACAAAACAATGGTACAAAAGAAATGCGACAGAAACGGCAATCAAAACAACGGGAAGCTACTGGAAGAAAGAAGACGGAAAATACTCGGAAAAAAACACCACAGAATTCAGAAATGACAGGCAAAAAAGGAAACTACAAGTATATGTACAGGAGCAGTACGACCACGCACGAGGAAACAACGCAGCATGAAAAATATTCTGGAGCCTTTCAACGTACAATAGTACTCCGGCCTCCTGACCTCACAGCTTTCCAAACGGCTTGAAAGCAAAAAACCTCGTAGAAGAGGGTTCCGTTTCCGCTGAAACCTTTCAAGCGGCTTTCAAGGGCTTTTTTCATTTTCGCAACCGTCACCGTGGCAACATTCACACATAAGTCACTTGTATGCGGTTTTTCAAGTAGTGTGAGTACAGCCTTATGGCAAACATTCAGGGACGTCGGAAGGTATTCTACATCGCTATGACCATGAAAAGTCGTGGGTCCCTGGTGCCCTCCTCCCCCCCCCCCCCCCCCGAGAGAGGTTTTGGGAAAATTGGGCCCAACTAGCCAGTATGTCCTTGCTTCAGAAATCACAGGATAAAATTATTGGTACGGCACCGGTTCCGATGCCCCTGCAATGGCAGACGGCAGACAAGATCTGAATGCCAAAGATGAAGATAAGATCTAAATGCCACAGATCAGGACTAGGACTAGTTACCTGGCCTATTGTACTGGAGGTTGATTCACATAACTTCGGCAGTCCCGGGACTGCCGAAGTCATGCGAATCAACCTCCAGCACACACCGGGTCTACACCGCACTGAGTGCATCGGAATAGGACGGCCAAGACACCCAAGCAAAAATACCGGGGTGACCAGTTTACCCTTCAAATTGCCCACACCCCAATATGGCAGATTTGGTGTGCAGATGATTCTGACTGGGCACACTGAGTATATCGGAATAGGACGGCCAGGACAGTTACCCATGCACACATGCTGGGGTGACCTCCAAGTGGCCCACGCCTCGATACGGCAGATTTGGTACGCAGATGATTCTGGCGCGGCAGGGCAGTTGGTTTGCCTGCGTAGGTGGTGGGATGATATCCAAGTCCAGGGTGAGCAGTATGGTTACAACACCAGTCATGACAGACACTTCTCGTCAAGCCGGAGGAGGTCGAGGAAGCGCACCGCATTTTCTCCGGCACTGGCATACGCATTGTAACGGGTGCTGTGGCCAAGTAGTTGGGATCATTTGTCGGTGAGTCAGGGGCGGTTGCCGAGCGTATGCGACAGCGAGTATCCGAGTGGACCGCGGAGGTGAAGAAGCTGGCGCATGGGGCCAAGGCTGAGCCACACGCAGCTCATGCAGCATTAACCCAGGGTCTCCAGGGGAGGTGGATGGATCTGCTCCGCATTGTGCCATTTCCCGGTGTGATTGCGCCCAATTGCGAGACACAACGAGCTCCGGGACTTGCTTGCATTCGCCATGCGGGAAGTATCCCCAGACGGAGCCCTGCCTTCTGCCTTTTGAGGGGAAGAGTTACAGGTCGGCCGCACCGGTAACTGCAGTGCTGAAGCCAGCGTGGACATTAGGGCTCGGGGGTTCTGGACGAGGCAGCAAGATGCCTTTTTTGATGTGCGGATTACTCACCCCAAGCCAACCTTCGATCGAGGCAATTTTACGCCCCTGGTATTTGCAACCAACGGTATGTGTGGAGTGGAGGAGACACGTTTTCTAAATCGCTTGCTGCGGATCTTGTGGATCGCCATGGAATATCGTGTTCCATCGTGGTAGGGCACCCAGATGCAGCATCTCCTTCTCCCTCCTTTTTGGCAGTAACCTGCCTAAGGGTGTGTAAAGGCACTGGCAGCTATGCTAGGCATGGTTTTGGCCGCTGTCCAGTTCAGCTGTGTTAACTGAATTCTGTGCGAGTGCCAGGTGTAGCAGCCCTGCTATCATGACTTACACCAGGGAACAGACAGTTTTGACATCATATTGCCATTACGTTTTTCCATTGAGTTTCCTTTTTTTGCTTTTCCCTCTTTTCCTTCTTTTATTTATTATTTGTTTATCCCACTATGCAGGCAGGCATAGTGGGATGGTCTAAGACCATGATTGAGAAACAGAGGGTACCAGGTTCAAGTCCTGCTTGGAAGCGGAAGGATTTTTTCCAGCCGTGCTGCGACCCACAGTTAATTGGGAACTCGTGGCCTGGCACGAGGAAAACATGGATGCAGTGAATGGGATTTTCGGTCTTTGACCACTTGGTGGTGAGCTGATCTACTCACCTCCCACCGCTTTAGGAGCTGCATCTGCGCCTTGATCCTTGAAGGGTGGTGGCGTTCCTACGGATGCGGAAAACCCGGCTTCCAGCCGAGTCTCACGCGAACCGTGAAATTTTAAAATTTTATGAGTTTTTTATTTCAGTTCCTTCTCTTCTTTGCGTTCCATTCACCTCTCTTGATTTCGTATTTAACTTGTGTTCTTCTAACTTCTCGAGTTGCTTCATTGCATCGCTCTCTGCTCCGTATGTTACAATTGGATCCATTCTTTGCCCGTAAAAGTGGCTTTCCGTCAATGATGTCCACAGTACTCTTGTACTTACTACTTCAGTAGTCTTGTACAAGTACTTGATCACTGCCTAAACTGGTCACGTGGGTCTCCCCTTGGGAGAGGGGAGAGAGACTCAAAAGGAATCCTTGAAGGATGACTCAATTGGCTATAGAACCGCCCAACGGCAGACACCACCTGAAATCCGCAAACTATGGGTGGACTTGGAAATGATCCCAGCTATGGGCTCACCACACCTCAGTAAGTGGGTGAGGACAAGGTGCAGAAAAAAGATTGACAGCACAAGGGTATTCGTCCCGAGATACAACTGCAGTTGCCCCTGCCCCCGGTGTGAATGTAATTCTTGCTACTAGAGTGCACAGTACTCTAATGGCGCGTATCAGTGTCATTTTGCACCTTCTCTGGCACGTAGCATGCCTATTACCTTCATTTCATTCTGTGCTTAAAACTGCGCTTTCAAATCAGTTCCAGCTATTCATTATCGTAAACGTTCACTGTTGAGACCATACAGCTGGAAACAGCGCTGCAGGGAGGAAATATTAATTATTTTCAGTATCTACAACTTGGAGCCGTGTTGCTAGGTTGATGGTCGGCCAGAGAGCGCAAGATGTGGCGGAGGTGGAATTTCACTTTTAAGAATAAAGAGGGAGAGAATATTTTTTTATTTTTTTTACTAGCAAACACAGCCCTACTAATAATCAGGGGAAGAGGACAAAAGAAATGACACTGGACAACAAGACAAAAAAGATACTACCATAACAAAGAAGAGTGGGTAGCCAGTGCAGGCTAATTTTTATTTTTCAAGGAAACCCTTCGAAAATGGTACCAATCGACTCAGCATGGCATTATCATTCCTCCTGCAAAGTTTCAGCTGATTTAGAGTCATGAGAAGGACGCTATGGCGATTTGAAGATCGAAAAACTTCACTTTTGTTTGTCAAGAAGAAAGACCATGATCGCACACAAATCATACAACCCGTGTGGCACAATGATTTTTGAACGAAGTTGATCCGCGGACCCCGTGCTTCGCGCATGCACGCATGCATATTGCACAGTACAGAGGCTTTTTTGAACGCAGATATGTAGTTCTTCGTCTTCTTCGAAATGTCTTCCAAATGCGTGGTGCTGGTGTTGTTCTCAGCTTTGTCAAGGCAGAATGCAGCTGCATGTGATGCTCCTGTGTGTTCATGCATGTTCTCTTTTCGCGTCTCGACATTGTAGCGTCCAGACTCAGCTCGACTAGAGAAGATTGAGGAGACTATGCTTTGATCCACATGGAAAATCGATGAAATTTGGTAATTATCGTCGGGCGCTAAAAAGCGCTGGGGAGCATGGGGCTAAAACTTCGTAGCAATCATCCCTACCATGACAGGCATCGACTGGTATATGTTCCATTCTGTTCCCAACCACTACGGGTCGTCTGCGAAGCTTTCTTCTTCGCCGATTCTCGGACAGATCGTACGTCTTCGCACTGTATCTCTCGTCTCCCTCAACGGATCAAAACACGGTTTTCGCCAGGACGAACACAAACCCCCAGATTTCGCGGCGGCAACATCTTCGAGTAGGGAAAAGCTAGCAGCTAACCAGGAATCACCAAAAAACATGTGTAATACTCAGTGTGATTTGCGACAGCTGTCATTGTGCCGTCGCAACATGCATGTACCATGCACGGGAAAGGAACACGGATGAGTCGTTTTATTACGACAGCCTGCACTGGCTAGAGTGGGGGAGGGGAGGGAGGAAGAAGGCAAAGAGATACCAGTGTGAGACATGACCCATCACGGCACAGCCTGCCAACACTACAGTTTCAATTAATTGTTGTGGAGTGTGACTGGTGCAGTGCTCGTGCTGGTGTCTGCAAGCGTCGTCTGGTCACAAGAAAAATCTACCACTACAGTTTCCCTATTCTTTGTTATGCTAGTATTAGTCTTTTTCTCTCCCTCTTTCTTCGCGCTAAACTTGTCCATCTACGGTAAAAACCAGGAATTTTTCGCAGGTGTAATATTTTCGGTATTTCCCAAATCAACGGTTCGGTATAGCGAAATTTCGGTAAACCAGTTTTTTGTTCAGATCCAAAAATGCATTCTGCACACTGTGTGGCAGAGGCATGTTGAATTTTAGGTTGCGTGTTTTATTTTAGGTAGAAATTACCTGTACTGAAGTTACCGAAAATTACTCTCCACCGAAATTTTCCAGTTGTACAGTACCTTGAATGAAGCTTACCATTCTCGTCCGGAATCTCATGTCTACTCCTGTACCGCTCCAGAAACTGTGCTATTGAGCTGATGCCATCTTCAGAGATCAGATAATCAAAATGCTCTATATGGAGAGACACAGACACCGAGGTTGTGACCCACATAACACACGTACGCACCCACACACACACACACACATATGCACACGCACATACATACACACAATTACACACACAAATACCCACATACACATACAAATGCACAAGGATCAAAACTAACACACGCATGGACAAACATGCGTGTGCACAGATACATGCGCATGTAATCAACCAAATGGACAAACATGCCCGCTGCGCATACATACACGTGCAGAACTTCACATCACGCGACATGGTTCTAAAGGTTACGCTTCGCAAACACCGAAAAGTGACACACAAGATAATTAAACCGAATGCAGGGTTGCGTACCACCCTGTATCTGTCATGTACAGGGTGCAAATAATGTACACGGGTCCGTCAAGTGATGGGAAGTTCTGCCGTTGCAGACTCCATAGCTGGAGTTGCAAACACTTCGGGGTTATGTACTCTTGGTGATATACATACGGGTTTCTTTGGGGAAATGTCACCTCTCATTCTTTTCTTCCTCTTCTCTTTTCCCTCTCATTTTTTAAATGTAGTATTTAGTTAGCCGTGGTTGGTTACCAACCTTCATCTCATTCGCACTATAGGCACCCTTTAATACGGCGAGCCAGGAGTGTATAAATAAAAAATAAAAAATAGCACGAATGGACTCTGATAGAGAGCCAAGGATAAATTTTATAGTATACCCAAGATGTGCTAGAGCTGTTAGCCAGTTAGTTGTAGAACGTCAGCACCGTTGGTCAATGTTCTGCAATGTTATTGCATGAGCTGATTGTTTAGTAACTGGTGGTGCTAGTGGACATTATAGCGTAACTTGTAGTTTCATGGTCCTTTTTCTTTACTATAAAAAGATAGCACTGCTCTTTTCGACTCACTGTACCTTTGGGGATCATCAGATGGGAGAAGTTCTCGCGTAGCCGATCCACGTGCTGAGACAAGTCCACCTTGGAGAACGTAGCCAATGTAGTGGTCAACTTTAGGCAGCATTCAATCAGCATAGGTAGCTGTGAAGAAGAGGGAGATTAGAGAGGGGAAAGAGAGAATGTGGAGAGAGAGAGAGTGAGTGAGGGTTAGTGAGCGACAGAGAGAGAGTGAGTGAGAGAGAGAGTGAGCGAGCGAGAGAGAGTGAGTGAGAGTGAGGGAGAGAGAGAGAGAGAGAGAGAGAGAGAGAGAGAGAGAGTAAGCGACAGAGAGAGTAAGCGACAGAGAGAGTGAGAGTGAGTGAGAGAGTGAGTGAGAGAGAGAGAGAAAAGAGAGAGCGTGCGTGCATGTGTATGCGTGTACGTGTGTGTATGTGTGTGTGCGTGTGTGCGTGTGCATGAGTGAGTGAGTGAGTGAATGTGTGCGTACATGTACGTGTGCGTACATGTACGTGTGGTTATGTGCACAAGCGCGAGTTAGAAAGGCAGGTAGAGAGGTGTCTATGTTTAAGCATTGTCCCAGCCCTAAGATGGCTGATAGGACAGTCTTAGGCAGATGATTAACTACTGTGGTTGTCAGTTGATAACGAGGTCTAAACGAAATCATGTGAAGAACGTTTGTTTTACTTTCCTCCAAACTGCAACGGGACTTCAAGGGGATTTCCCGCAAGAAAAAAATTCGTGTTAAAACTACCGCATTTCACTGAAAGTCACTCGATTACATGTCGCTGCCCCACTTTCAGGTCTGAGCCAACGTATATTCACACCAGCAGGATGTCACACTCGATTGCGAGTCTCATCTCTCTTCTTTGCCCTTGGAAGTTAAGTGTAAAAGACGCGCCTTATAGTCGGGGAAATGCGACTACCGTACCACAAACTGAAGGGGATTTCCCACGAGAATAGATTCGTGTTAGGACTCGGGCCCAGAGCCAGCTCCTGGGGGGTGGTACGGCCCCAGGTCGGCTACAGGACCGATTATTTCCACATGCCCAATTTCAAAAACCTGGGAGGATACATCTCTACCTCTATGCATTGTCTTTTTTTTCAGCTGCACTTTCCTCTAGCAACAGATATGGCAGCTAGCGGAGTAGACTTCTCTGGACAAGAACAGTCGAGGAGATAGAGGAAGGAGTGTATGAGGATAGCTTATTACTGGTACTTCCAGATAATCAAGTGCGCACTGAGCAGCTCATGAACACTGGAATTGTTGAAAACTGGTACGGCCATGGCCGAACCAGCCGTACCAGTGGCGCCGGCCCTGGGACTAATTGTGCGTTTCAAAAGTATAGACCTCTAGATTTTTTGAGGAATTAAAATTTGGTTTGAGCCTTTGAGAAATTTCTTCGGAATATTGCTCAGGCAGCTCCCGCAAATTTTCTCATATAAATGTCTAAGCGATTGGATAACGAACGCCCAAATTTGGAAATTTTATGCACAAAGTCGTCACAGATTTTTGTGGTATAGATGCTGGCCTAACGGTTTAAAAAGAAACCCAGAGGTCTGGGCTTTTGAAAACGCCGCACTATAGTGCAAGCATTCTTACTGTGCGTGACAGTGGATCCTCCGAGATGTCCTCCATGACATTGGTCTGAAGCTTGGGCATAACACGGCTCGTCCAGTCCTTGAACAGACGGCATTTCATGTGCGCCCACGACATCGTGCACGGTCAAGGCCTATAATAATAATAATGATAATAATGATAAACACAGTTCAGATGTACCCCAAATGAAGCATAAGGGGTTAAACGCATCTGGTAATAAGTTAGGTGAAACATTCGAATAGCTAATAGTACCATGTACCATGTATACGCCCGTCGCAAGAGAAGCACGCAAATCTGCAAATGCACTGGATGTGCACCCACAGATTAGCTAATAGTAGGGGCTAGTTGGACAGATTCAGGGGACAAGGTCAAACAAGGTGAATGATCCACTCGGTCATGCCTTGCCCAAACCAGTTCTCGTTCAATCAACACTGAAAGCACTCTCAAGAGTATATACTGGGTGCCCTGTGTACACTAAGCATTCACTATGTTTTGTCCAATAGTCCTGAAACTAAGAGCTACTATTGTTTTAGGCCACCTATGATCATTCGAGTCACTGAGTCACTTAAGTACGCGTCGGAGGCTGCGCGGCCCTAGACCTGCGAACACTACTCACTAGGCTGCAACATGGTGGACTCGCGCGACCGGATTTCATTGAGCAATGCTGTACATGCTGTGCATTACTGTGACGGGAATGGTCTTAGAGACTGCTTCTCCCATTCCCGTTGGCCTTCCGATCACATAATTACACTCTTTCTGCATGCTCTGTATGGTGATCCCCGAATTACTTATTATTATCCATGCATAACGGACAACTATTACTCTACACACTATCCACCTTTAGGAACACACTTACACATCCTTATTCTACGTCCCACACCGTACTCTGAACACAGCAGGGAGTCGAATATGACTCCCTGCATTTATTCTGACATATGAAGCTGGCCTTGACAAGGGTTTCCCCTCAGTTCTATGTTAGTCCAGAAGGAGTGAGTTTGATTTGTAGTGTCGACTGGAGCTGCTAGTGTGCTGCCTGTTACAATTACGATTGATTGCTTCCTACACATTATTACTCCCCCAAACCCGGACCACCCTGTGCAACTTCACCACCATGATGATTGCACAGTTCAACTACTTCTCTTGCAAAGGAAACGGGCCACGTAGCGCGACATAATGCAGAAGCAAAAAGAGGATATTCCCGAGCCGTAGCTGAGCATTTTGGCTGCAGTGCAGAACTCCTGCCTGTAGTCGCAAACAGAGCAGAAACACACAGTGCGAGGGCATGTATTATAATTCAGAATGTTCGTAATAGTGATTGAGAAGATTGAAATACAAAACTACACCGAAATGGTTTTTGTGGCACCCACTCCACAATAGTATATAACTGGAAATAGTTAGAGGCTAATATACAAAAAAACAGGAGGTATTGAGAACTTTCCTCAAGCTGATCGCATTTCAGGACAGTGGAAAGTGGTGCTGCACGCACACAACTTGGCTCACACTCTCTTTTCTAGTTGATTGCAAAAGGTACGACTATTGGGCACTCAATGTTTCTTGGTCTTTTTATGCAGGTAGGCATAGGCATAGTGGGATGGTCCGAGACCATGAATGAGAAACAGTGCATACTTGGTTGAAGTCTTGCTTGGAAGCGGAAGGAATTTTCCAGCCGTGCTGTGACCTATAGCCATGTTGCAACTCGTGGCCTGGCTTGAGGGAAACATTGATGCACCGCTATGATTTTCGGTCTCTCTACGTTTTTGGTCGGTCTCTTTGATCTCACCTTCCACCGCTCTAGGAGTTGCATTTACACCTCGATCTTTGAGCGTGATAGCTCTCCTACAGAAGCCGAAAGCTCAGTCCAACCCAGTCTCACACGAACCATGATTTTTTGGTGTTCTATTCTGTGCATCATTTATTAGCTTGGCTAAATTCGCATGGTTTGGCTCTGTTGCCATGGGGCAGCTAATGCAGAATCGATCTGGGCAACACAACAGTATACTGTTGTAAGAATTTATCAGAGCAGCCTAAAGAGTCTGATTCATACAAAGAATCCAACTGGAGAGGATGCATTATACCCTATACTCTTCATTACCATGCGGCTTCTAGCTTTTAGTATGCGTGTTTTTGGCCGTGATGCCGAGGCCTCAGGTCGGCAGAGCCATCAATGCCCCACCATCAATGCTGCGTCTCTGTGCAGCGCCTGCTCATTAGTTGTCCATGTTTGTCCTAGTCTCCGTACCATTTTCTTTCATTATTCTTTTCAAGTATGCTGTATGCCATATTAGGATTTGCATACGCTGCAGACTGTTCAAACTGTTCAAACCACTCCAGACCGAATATTCAAAAATGACGAGACAACTCGCCAGCTATTATCAATGAACTAATAATTTTCACCTTTCTGTAGTGCATCCAATCGATCACAGCTATTCTGCTCTACGGCATTGTTCCTCAAGATTCTGAGCTATCTGTTTGTCTTCTCTTTATCATCATCCTGAATGGCACAAGTGAAGTAGGCATCCCCGCTTACATCGCGATAGTGCTTATAATAATAATACACAGCAGATTAGGGTTTTGTTCGGCAGGTTTTGTACCCACAAACACCGTCAGAAGATGTTGCCACATTATCCGTTGGTTTCTGTCCTTCTATCTCCCTCTGGTTTCTGTGTCCGGCAAGCTAGGTCTACCATATTCCCTCTTTTGCCTTTTTTTTGCTGAACTTGCCCGTTTGTCCTGCTCTTTAGACGCACCCGAGAGGATCACATTGCTCCCACAGGGGATTCAGGAGGGAATTCCCGACGGGGAATCATCAAGACAGATGAAGTGTGCCACTTGCTAACCCGAAGGCAGTTGAGCTGTCCCACGGCAAGAAGAGCGGATGAGGTGAGGCAGGGGTATTAGAGAGGTTAAGATGCACGTTATTTCTGACGCGACGCGACGAAAGTTCAGCTCGCAATATTTGGCTCGCGCGTCGATAAACAACGCGAGTCACCTGCAGCTCGCGTCGAAATTTGGAGTTTTTTTGCCCAATGTGACGTGAAATTGCGCATCATGCCGGAGATAACGTGCATCTGAACCTCTCTGACATGCAGACAGTGAAGATAGCAGCAGCAGTAGCAGTAGCAGTAGCACTGTGATCAGCAAGGACTGTGACCTGCACACAACGCGTATGCGACCGTTTCATTGCTGATCACCAGCTGTTGAATTTGCCAGTCAGTAAGTGTCATATATTTCCTGCAGAAGCCGAAACCTCAGTCTAACCCGCTCTCACACGAACCATGATGATTTTGGTGTCGTCTTCTATACACCCTTTATTAGCTTGGCTATATTCGTTTGGTTTGGCTCTGTTACCAGTCGGGGAGATGTCCTATCTAGGACATCGCACTCTGAATGAGTCTGATTGGTTACCTGTCCCAGAGTTGTCGTGGAAGCATCGGTCGCGCACACGCGATGAAAAGAAGTGCTGCGTGAGCATTTCTGAATGTATGTGGAGTATGCACGATCGTAATGGCGATGGATTTCTTTCCGAATTGGTCAAGTTTGAGGGAATAGGCGGAGAGTATCAGAGATCGGCGGGGATTGAGGGAGTGTATTTTCGATTCGCCATCGAATACCCGACCGAATGGCCGTTTTCGTTTGGGGATTTCATGTGGGTTTCTCGTAGCCACGCGGCGCGGCGCTTCTTTGGAAACGCCATTGGTTCTCATTTTGAATGTTTTGCCTTTGGAATGTTTCTTCACGCCCCGTGCGTTCATTTCGCCCCAAACCTGGTCATGCAGAGGAGGAAGACGAGGCAGCAGGCGCTAGGCCCGTAAATTACTGCCTGGAAGATATTGTTTGGCCAAAGCTTGCTGTTGGCGTTTTTCATTTCTTGGATACGACAGCTCTTGGCTAAAAATGGACCTTGGACGGTCTTTCTTGGATATCAACCCAGGACGTGGTGGTCATGGACGTATCGCCATCGCTTTCGGCCAGATCTTTCTGCTGCCTGAAACCAATGGCGAAAGTAACAACTTTATCGCAGCAGCAGCTACTGCTCTGCTGAAAGTGCGAACACAAAATGCTCCGCCGATCCTCTTGTGCACTTGCAATTTTCAATGCGACCAAAACGATTCGCTTGCCAGTTCCTTTGTCCAGGCGTACTCCACAACGAGGAAAATAAAATTCGTGAAGACAAGAGGCAAGCCGCCAGGAGAACGACAACTATATATTACTTTTGAGACGAAAGGCCTTCGGTGCGTTTGTTTTGAGTGCGACAATATGTTCATCTTCCTCGGACGCGACACAAAGTTTTGAGTCACGTGTCACAATTACTATGGGAACAGCATAGTATGTATGCTGGGGCATGCTGGGTTCCGTGATGTCCTATCTAGGAAATCACCAGGACTGGTTACCATGAGGCAGCTAATCCAGAATCAATCGAAAATCGTGGTAGACGGTGTCGTATTACCCTCGACCGTACCTGTCCCGTACCGTACCAACAGAGACGGCTGGCCACAAACAGCTGGCCACAATATTCAAATAGGGCTTTCAAATGCAAGATCATAACGTGAAGTAACTTGGAAGAATTAGTATGTATGCGAAGTGTATCGGGGATGCATGCAGGCGATATTGCGGGTTCGAATCCCAGGTTATGTCTTAAAATAAAATAGGAGAAATGAAAAATTTATAACATCCCTATGCTTTATTTTGCCTAGGTCATCAAGGCAAAAAAAAGCATAGCGTAAGGCCCTGAGCTTCCAAGCTCTCGTTATAGGCCACATTTCCCCTAAAAGGAAGCAATGAGAGTCTCCAAATCCTAATATACAACTTACTTCTTCTCATCTTCCAGAATGTCCACCATTGCCATGCGCAGGGTTTCGCCTGTGCACTGAAACACAAAACAAAGCATACAAACCAAACATACAACTTGCAGCACTAGGATTCCATAAGCCAAGCTGCGCTTGCCAAATTTGGAAGGTACGAGTAATGCACACGAGTACGCTAGGATCAATAATGCACTGTTCATAATTCATTGTTGCCACAACTTCTCCTCTGGTGAGTCCCCATCACCTTTATGGAACGAAACAAGACTTTTCAAGAGTAACACAACCTGCTAGTGAGGAGCATAGCTAGAAAACTGTTCGTGCTGTCGTCTGCAAGCGTCGTGTGGTCTCGTCGGGTCAAATGAAAGACCTATTACAACCAGGGACTCACTGCTCAACCCAGCCATACCTAGGTCGGGCATTGGTGAAAAAACTGACTACAGTCAACTTCGCGTTTAACGACACTCGGCGGGGCATCAGAAAAGTGTCCTTATTCGCGACGTGTCGTTATACCCGAAGTCTCATTATATGTGTCACAGTTGGATGAGACTTTGCTCTGGGCATGAAAATTATGTCGTTATTCGCGAATTGTCGTTATATCCGCAGTCGTTATTGGCGAAGTTGACTGTACGTCATTGCACAATAAGCTTATTGATCATGTTCAAGCTGGTCAGAGTGGAGCGCTGAATCAACACCTTCAGAGTGCGGATAAATAGAGATTTGGTGTGTATGCGCCGCCACACCAGACGGGGCAGCCTCTGCCTTTGAAACAGTTGCCGCTACAGTGTCTTTCTCACCCAGGGTGGCTGTGCCCGCGCAGTATATGATGTTAGTGGGCAGCTGCAAATTGCACTGGATGTTGCTGTGATCTGGAAGGCCTGTGCAAGTACAAGATGTTGGTGCGCCAGTGGTGCTCTGGCTACATTTAGTGTATGCACTGGCCTGGTCAGTGGTCACAGCCACTGTAACCCTAGCGCAAGTATTTCCGTCGTAGATTACTGTTTAGCTATCTTCTTCTTTGCGCTGTTTTACCACCTCCTTACTGTACTTATTTCAACGTTCCTGTTCCTTTGCCTGATAAGAAGGCTTGAAAGTGTACTTGTGAAACCAAAAACTTGATGATCGTAAAGAGCCTGAAGTGTGTCCTTTTTATGAGTATTATCGCATTTCTGTCTCAGAGGAAACAGATTGCCGTTCCTTATTATTTTACCAAAAACGTAGGGTGCTCTTCGAGTAAAACTGCTGATGCCATGACAGCAATGCCCCTGGCTGTACTGGCTTCAGTGGCTGTGGGCTTATTGTCAGAAAGATTAAGTATCGAGAAATTGAATCTTTCAGCAGCTAATGAATGCTTGCGGACCGAGCAAGACGGAGTTAGGATAGCTTCTCGAGAAAAAACGTTTTCTGTTTCACCCCGACGGGTGTTACCGAAAGCTACCAGATACAATGTATTGGGCAGCAGGGTATGTTATATCGATCATACACTTCTACCATTGTTCGGTGCTTACCTCCAACACGCAGAGCACATAGTCCGGATAGTGAACTATGCTGCCGGTCAGCGTATCGCCACGACGACCATCACGCCAGTGCTTCGTGTGACCATCAAAATGAGCTACGGTGCACACAGTTTGAGAACAACGCATGGGTAGAATTTTTAAAGGATTTTGAGAACTTCAAATTTATGAGAGTCTTCCGGCTAGGTAGAGTGCTCAATAATCATTTGAATAGAGCTATCTTACACACTTCACAGAGCACCACGCATCATCCGTTGTAACGAATAGTTTCATGCCCATAGGCAATCATCAGAAAACCAATCTTCAAATTTAGGGTCAAGTGGGGAAGTGAACTGCCTGAAAAGAGAAAATATGCCAACCCCACCAGGACTCGGCCCTGGTGGCCCTACCCTGCAGCCGTCAAAGGGTTAATGGGACAATTTGATATAAATCACGAACAGCGTACCTATTATATTTCTGCGACTGGGGTCCATGGAACCTCCAGCAGCGGGACTTCTAGCAAAGTAATCCGATTGTCTCGTGCCCGCTCTGCTCGGCTGGGATGCGGGCTGGGGCTGCTGCTTCCGGTGCTTCAGCTTGACCAGCAGAATAAGACGATGCAGCTGGGAAGTCTGCAGATCGGGAACAGAACGGGGCCGGAAAGAGAGAGAGAGAGAGAGAGAGAGAGAGAGAGAGAGAGAGAGAGAGAGAGAGAGAGAGAGAGAGAGAGAGAGAGAGAGAGAGAGAGAGAGAAAGAGAAGAGAGGGGGAGAGAGAGAGATGGATAGATAGAGAGAGATAGATAGATAGAGAGAGATAGATAGAGAGAGAGAGAGATAGAGAGAGAGAGATAGAGAGAGAGAGATATAGAGAGAAAGAGAGATAGAGAGAGAAAGAGAGAGAGAGAGAGAAAGTCAGACTACAGGGGAAATGCAGGACCGCCGTAAGCAGTTTTTAATTGGTCCGGCCATACCCTACCCTAGCCATACCCTACCCTAGCCATACCCTACCCTAGCCATACCCTACCCTAGCCATACCCTACCCTAGCCATACCCTAGCCTAGCCATACCCTAGCCTAGCCATACCCTACCCTAGCCATACCCTAGCCTAGCCATACCCTAGCCTAGCCATACCCTACCCTAGCCATACCCTACCCTAGCCATACCCTACCCTAGCCACACCCTAGCCTAGCCATACCCTAGCCTAGCCATACCCTACCCTAGCCATACCCTAGCCTAGCCATACCCTACCCTAGCCATACCCTAGCCTAGCCATACCCTACCCTAGCCATACCCTAGCCTAGCCATACCCTAGCCTAGCCATACCCTACCCTAGCCATACCCTACCCTAGCCATACCCTACCCTAGCCATACCCTAGCCTAGCCATACCCTAGCCTAGCCATACCCTAGCCTAGCCATACCCTACCCTAGCCATACCCTACCCTAGCCATACCCTACCCTAGCCATACCCTAGCCTAGCCATGCCCTACCCTAGCCATGCCCTACCCTAGCCATGCCCTAGCCTAGCCATGCCCTAGCCTAGCCATACCCTAGCCTAGCCATACCCTAGCCTAGCCATACCCTACCCTAGCCATACCCTAGCCTAGCCATACCCTACCCTAGCCATACCCTAGCCTAGCCATACCCTAGCCTAGCCATACCCTAGCCTAGCCACGCCCTAGCCTAGCCACGCCCTAGCCTAGCCATACCCTAGCCTAGCCATACCCTAGCCTAGCCATACCCTAGCCTAGCCATACCCTACCCTAGCCACACCCTACCCTAGCCATACCCTACCCTAGCCATACCCTAGCCTAGCCATACCCTACCCTAGCCATACCCTACCCTAGCCATACCCTACCCTAGCCATACCCTACCCTAGCCATACCCTAGCCTAGCCATACCCTAGCCTAGCCATACCCTAGCCTAGCCATACCCTAGCCTAGCCATACCCTAGCCTAGCCATACCCTAGCCTAGCCATACCCTAGCCTAGCCATACCCTAGCCTAGCCATACCCTAGCCTAGCCATACCCTAGCCTAGCCATACCCTAGCCTAGCCATACCCTAGCCTAGCCATACCCTAGCCTAGCCATACCCTAGCCTAGCCATACCCTAGCCTAGCCATACCCTAGCCTAGCCATACCCTAGCCCAGCCATACCCTAGCCCAGCCATACCCTAGCCCAGCCATACCCTAGCCCAGCCATACCCTAGCCCAGCCATACCCTAGCCCAGCCATACCCTAGCCTAGCCATACCCTAGCCCAGCCATACCCTAGCCCAGCCATACCCTAGCCCAGCCATACCCTAGCCCAGCCATACCCTAGCCTAGCCATACCCTAGCCTAGCCATACCCTAGCCTAGCCATACCCTAGCCTAGCCATACCCTAGCCTAGCCATACCCTAGCCTAGCCATACCCTAGCCTAGCCATACCCTAGCCTAGCCATACCCTAGCCTAGCCATACCCTAGCCTAGCCATACCCTAGCCTAGCCATACCCTAGCCTAGCCATACCCTAGATACCCTAGCCATACCCTAGCCTAGCCATACCCTAGCCTAGCCATACCCTAGATACCCTAGCCTTCCATACTTGTGTATGATATAGCGTGTGCACACAACCCCCTCAGCAGAAAAAACAAACATTGGTGGCCAAAACGTTCAAACCACAAGGCGTTGGTACCATGCACAGTAAAACCGGTAATAACAGACAGCTTAGGGACCATCGCAAAAGTTCGCAGAAGCCCCTGAAACGAAGAGCATACGTTTGGGGGGGGGGGGGGGGGAGGGAGTCGGTGCGAAAATCGCAAACCGGGCTTCAATTCAAAAAGTATTGACGACATAATTATAGGAGCTGTAGGATTAGCATGCCATCACAGCCGGCGTAGATCGCTTGAATGTGAAAGCAATATACACCAATCAACGTTCATTGTAATGCTCAAAGGATACAACTGCATAGCTCTAGCTGTTCTCGTTCTTAGATCACCCACTGCAAGGTGATATCATCGTTGCATTTATAAAGTGCTGTACATTGTTACACACTGATACAACAATGCTTGTGTAGTATATTATAATAATCATTATGTGTGAGCATCCAAGTGAAAAAATGAAGCCCATGTTGTGACTGTCGTTTCGTTTGAGGGGGGAGGGAGGGGGGGGTCAGGCCCGAAACTCACGGTCTTCGTTTCGGGGGCTTCTGCGAACTTTTGCGATGGTCCCTTAGTTCGTCTTTTGTAACATTGCCGTCGGACATGCTACATTCACTACGGTTTTGACCCTACCACTCTTTTCCCCAGGTACGGTACACTGTGAGTTAATGATAGGTTTGTTTTTGGGCTCTAAATTTCGGAATATTTTTTTAGAGGAGACACCCCAACTCCACGAGTAAATTGTACTTCAGGTGGCTGACCGTATCGCTCTGAAATACCTTCCGACGCCCCTGATGAAACAACCATTCCTTTTGAGACCGGGTATATCCAGGACTGACCATGTTGCTACGTGCTGTCAGAGTCTGACTGGTATCGAGGAATCGATCCGCTGTCACCTGTCAGTACAGACCAGAGCTGTACAGCAAAACCTCCGGAAACAACTACTCCGGTAAGGCGGTTCCGGAGGACAGCAACACAACTACAATTAGAACGCAGGGACACTACTGCAAGTCAACAAATATTCAGGCAATATCTATTTTCGGCTATTTTTGGCCCGGTCATGTTTGGCCGGAAATTTGTTGCGACCGAAATTTTTCTGCAAGGTTCAGTGTGGCAGACGGCAGCAGTACGGGTCGAAAATTTGATTCGGCCGAAATGTGTTTTAGTCCTTGGAGGCCGAAATTTGAATGGGCAGAAAATTTGTAGAGTTACAGTATTTGAACTACGGGAGAGAAGAAATGACACTGCTCACGGAAGACAAACTGATGATGATACAATATTGTAATTATGCTAACTGGAGCTGGAGCCAACATGGTTGTCACTATTTGTTCATGTTGGGAGACGTTTAACATATCTCTACACTTATTTATTATCTTAACCCATTCAGCGCTACTGGGCCTTGCCTATGGTACTCTGCATATAAAATGCTAAAAACAAGGCAAATAGAAAGCTCTAAAACTCCAGGGTTCTGGCAACTGGGTCCTCAAATATTTTGGAAATGATTGCCAAGACTATCAACCACAGGGTGACAGAATCGATACAGTCCCCGAAAAGAATAGCGCTTCACAATAGGGGACGCAAGTTTGCTCAAATCGCGTGAAATACGCTAAATGTGTGCAATTGCAGCTGAAAGATCGCTGAAAAGAGAAGAAAAAAAGACGCATAGTGTTACCAAGCGGGATTCGTACCGACGACCTATCGTACAAGAGGCAGGATCATGATCCAACTGACTAACAGTGCTTTTACACACCTGATAGTGACGGAAATCACTATATATCCCATGACGTCTATAGACGTCATCCCGCGCATGGGGGGCATTTTCAATGACGTCTATAGACGTCATCAGCGTTCAATGGGTTAATATCTACAGTGCTGCTCAAAGAAATCCATTCGCGTCACTCAAGTACGCTCCGGGCATTGCGCAGCACTAGACCTGCGAACACTGAGCTGCAAAAATAGTGCCGGAGGCACACTCAACTCACACGACCAGATTCCATTAAGCAGCACTGCACATGCCAAACATTCGGAAAGACACAGGAAAAAAGACAAGTCACGAGATTCCATTGGCGAATGTGACAAAAAAATGTTCTGGAATGAATCTTTACTACAGTTCTCGGTACTGGTATCTAAACCCTGAGTGGTGCGCTCACATCGCGAAGGCCCAACACAGGATTGTAACACTACGGAATAGAGACCGCTAGAATGTGACCTCATCGCTCAGGGGTCAGATTTCAGTTAGCAGAACTGTAGTTTGTTGCTTGACATGAGCGTGAGTATAATTTTATTCATAGCTAAAGAAAAACCCGAAGACATACCATTCCTAATGACTTCTTTACATCCAGCACACGCTCAAGCAGCGACTTGACCTCGGGCAAGTCACTCGTCTGTAGCAGAGTCGTCATGGTCTATCCAATGGCGAGACGTGGAACACAGGGCAACCTGAACAAGCAATCAACACAAGACGTGCACAACGACCAAGAACAACTAGAATCAATCATATTCACGTGTTCACTATTTTTTAGAAATCAAACAGTTAGTCCGATGGGATAACGCTTAAAATTATGAGCCCAAATCAGGACATTGAATTGATCCACAAGGTACCTGGGGCCAATAGTGGTACGGGCAATACTGTAGTGACCGTATCGTGTCCGGTCCCCCCCCCCCACCTGTTTTTTAATCGCGTAGTTTCAGCTACCACCTTTTCACCCACAAAGTGTACCCTACTTCTTGCTTAGTTCCCGAAAGGGTTACATTTTTACTCTGGAGATGTGTGGACGGGGAAATGGTGTTCGGTCAACTTCGCTAGTAACGACAGTGGATATAACGACAATTCGTGAATAACGGCAGAATTTCCATGCCCAGAGCAAAGTCCCATCAACCTGCAATACATATAATGAGACTAGGGGTATAACGACACTTCGCGAATAAGGACACTTTTCTGATGCCCCACCGAGTGTCGTTATACGCAAAGTTGACTGTGCTGGTGTGGCAGAACGTTCCCGCACAGTGCGAATGGAGATTGCATGTGTAAAGCCAGCAGCGCCCAGTGGCCGCTGGACTTCAGAGGATTTCTATGTCCGTAAAAGTGCTAAAGTTAGTTCTACAACAGTGGAAGTACAGAATCGACAAAGACAACAAGACAAGTGCTCCAAGAACAGAACCTTTTTTTCTTGGACACAGTCTTTAGGGATATTGCGGAGGTTTAGCAAGACGAAATTCGTGTTCCCACTCCAAGGAATTCGCGTTATCAGAAGGATTACAGTCCATTCAGAAAAAGATGAGCCCTGGCCCTGGAGAACTCCCGTGTTTGGTGATTTTGTCAGTGCCGCGAGATTCGAAACTTGAAAATAGGTCCAAAAAAGGTACCTCAACTGGGGTTTGAACCGCAAATGTACTGTTCTGCAAGTGGAGTGCACGGGTTGGCTTTGCATAGCTTTTCCCCAATTCAGTGCTTTGGGGGCAAAACTTGGCCGAAATCCTATTCTTGCTATGGCTTGCTTTTTGGGGAAATGGACTTCAAAAACATAATTGGAAGAGCAGTCCATGGGGGATTGCGAAAAAATTGGGGACCAAAACTCAAAATTTGACCCATTTATGGCCAAAAGCTAGGATATCATCTTTTTTTCTGAATGGACTGTTGGCCGTCATCACACTACGTTCTCCGACTCCCGTTTACGTCTATGGTGAAAAAACCAAAACGGGTGGTCGTGTCATCAGACAGGCACAGTTCTTGACGCGTACACGCAATCACGTTTTTGGAGAAATTTGAACGCACATACATCGAAGTACAGGGTCGCTCGGAAAAAAGGCTGGGGGAGATAAGCACGTTCATACAAAAAGTCGAATATCAAAATTCCCGGGTTAAGGCAGCACTATTTTGAGGAAATGCACACCGTACAACGGACCATGCCCACACGTACTGCTTCATAAACTTTACATGCGACAAGTAACCACCCAGTGCGCTCACTACGACTGGCTGAGGACCAAACACAAAGTGAAGCACCAACAAAGTAAATGCAGGCCGTTACGGAGTGACACACACAAACACACATGTACATACGCGCACACACGTACACAATGCGTAAGGCCAGAGGTGAACATTGCCACATCCCAGCTTGTACATGTACGTTGACGTCAGCAGCGCAGCTTACGTTTGTTTCGAGGTAAATCCGGTAGTCGCTCCACACTCGATACTCCACTGATGCTTCTCCCGCTGCGCACAGCGAACGATAGCCCCTGTAGCCGCGAAAAGTCACGTTCCAGCAATGGGCGAAAGGTGGGTCAGCTTTGCAGTAGCGGAGAACAAAAGCACGAGCAATCAATACCAGGAGTTTGAGAGGGAAAGAGCAACGAGTGCGCCGGGGTTGAACTCTGGAAAACTCACCGCCTACAAACTGATTCCAGTCCGGCTCGTACAGTGTGGCACATGTAGTTGCGCGCTCAAGCAGGATTGCAGGCTAACATTTTTAAAATAAGCAACAAAGCGAGAGAAGCCAGCCATTCGCAAAGACACTGGTGCCGTCGGACTGGAGTGGACTTTCCTCTTCTCGTTGGCCTGCCCAAAAAATGAATGGACGTAAACTGATCCTGGAGCAGCGTCTTGCTTGAGTTGTCCAGGCTCACTTGACACCTGAAGGCGTGAAGCTGACAGTTTGCGCGCTCGCGCTCAGTCCTTGGCACTTGCTGCTATGACGATTGTCGTGCAGCAGCTAGTTAGCTAGCTGGCATGCCATGCCTCTGCCTGCGCTGGCCACTCTTTTGAGTGTTTGTCTTTCGAGGGCTACATCATGTAGATCGTCAGTACTGCAGTGTAGACTGTAGTCTGTAGACTGTAGAGTGCAGTACTAGATCTACGCTCACTGCATATCGTTGGTCGACAGCATGTTGTGGAAGACCACTGACCATGCTGACAGAAGACTGTCCGTGTTCTGACCCTCTTTGAGTCTGACTGATACTACGCGTAGGGGAGCTGTTTGAGTCCTCCTGCGCAATGTCAGCCGTGTATTCAGCAATCGCTGTTGCTGCTTCTGCTGCTGCTGTTGTTGTTGCTGGACCGAAGAGGAGACGGTATACATGTACATGTACATGTAGTGTCATGCATCAGAAGTAACAGTTAGATATTGGCGTCCGTAACCATGAACCTTCCCAGTTGGAAGGCTGTTGGTTTGCGCACTGCCACTGGAGATCTGTTAGAGCTACACGTACATGTACAATGTCATGTAGGTCTCGGGTCGCTGAACGTCTCAGTTGCCGGTCAGTTTTGTACCCAGTTATCGCACGTTCTGACTGTTTATCATCTTGTTACAGTCGTGGATAGTTGCTGCATAGCTCGTTCTCATGACAGGTACTAGGTGTTTCTTCTATTTTTTACATTAATTTTTGTTACTAGCTCAGTATCCGAGTGTTTTTTGCTCAACTAAGATGAACACGATGTACATGTATAGGTACGTGTTCGTCCTGCTGCCGACTACTGCAACTAACTACCTAACTACTTCTACTCATCGCACAGGTCGACATTACCACCAGTATTCCACTATTACTAGTAGTAGGCCTTCACTACTACTACTAGCAACCCCAAAAAAATAATGACTGCCACTACTAGTGCACTGTGTCGACTAGAGTATTTTAATTTTTATTCATAATTATGGTGGTAAACACGCACCTGGCAATATGGCGGTAAATACACGCCGGACAGTAATTAAACAACAGGAAGAAAGGAGATTATATATATAATTATGGCTGTAAATACAGTCCAATGTCGAGCCAGACGCGCCTCAGCCTGGACAAGGTCGACAAGCGCGAGGTCGAAGCGACGACGGCGAACAGAGCATGATCCACGGACGCAACGGATGGCAGATCTGGCAAGAAAAAAATGCCAAGCAGCACCGCATGCGCAGCCAAGCTACAACCCGGATAGTAATACTAATAAGTAATAGGCAGCATTGCGTTTGGTGGCCTAGCCATGCGCCAGCCTCTTGTGACTACTAGTACTACCACTACGGCCCACTACGGCTGCTTCAGAGCCCATCCCACCACAGGATCTAGGAGGAGAAGACTAACGCCGGTGTGAAGGAGCCATGCTCGACTTCATTGACACGTTGTGTCTCATGCATGCATGAACAGATACAAGATTAGTACAGAGTTAGTACTTACCACGCACGCACGCTTGCAGGCTAGCTAGCTCTACCCTTCTCTATCACGTAAATAATGTACAATGTAAAAACTCAAATGGCAGTGGTTCGCTGATAAACACCCCCACACACACCCACTGTCGTAACTAATTACTTCACTTACACGTACTCAACCCTTTCCTCTACAACACTACAAGACAGTACAAGACAGTATACGCTTACAAAACCAGCTATTGCTCTTGCTGCAGATTGTTTTTTAGTTTTAGTTCGCTTGTTCAAGAGTATAGTTTGAGCAGTAATCGTTCTGTTTGACGTTTAGAGCCTGTTCTCCACTGGCTGGGCACTGGGAAGTGCAATATAATTATAAGGGATTAGAAAGCCAAACACCACGAAGGTCTAAACGCCCAAGGTACCGACGTACTTTAGCAATGGTGTAACTACGCCGTCAGATACAGCTGGGAGGAACCTGCCTAGCGCCTGTGAAACCGAGGCTGATTTCAACATCGGAGGTAAGCAGTGACTACGCGTATACGATTGTTCACTTTACCCCCCCCCCCCCCGGGGCTTTCTCAACTAACATTCCTTACCAGCCAACGGTACAAATCAGCTAAGGTATCACAGATATCGATAAAACCCATCATACATGTACATCAGGGAGTAGTAAAATACAGGGAGGTGACACGCCACTAATCGAGATTTTTGATGGGTGCCTCGCGCTTGTTTTTTTTTCTTTCGCAAAAAAAGATGATCTGCTGAATCAATCTTGAGTATTTGTCGAAGAACTAATTCCGTGAAAAGGTCTATCCATATGCCATCTCATGGAACAGCATTTGTTTTGCTCTTGTGATACATCTGTGTCATCGTCATATGGAAAGGTACCACCCTTCCGAAATTCGTCCCAATCGACGGCATGGAGCAATAGAACGAAGGTGATTTCCTTGAGAACAATACGTGTACGATTGGAGATGAAAAGCGAGTGCACCGATTTCGAAGTCGAAAAAATCTCTAGGACACCACACGATCGGCACTAATTTCTCCTCAGTTGTGATCAACCAGTACTTCTCTACCTTCTTTGTGATGATGAGCATTTCATATTATGGTATGCTAGAGATTCGGGCGTTCACTTTTCGGAATGAAATGTTCCTAAGTTTGTCAAGGATTGAAATGCGGGCTACGTCGTCGTAAACAGCTTGTATCGACACAGGAAAAATCTACGGCACGCAAGGATATCTCCCAAAGTGATACCACTCTTGCTGGACTTCTATCCTAACATAGTGGTAGTTTGGTCGACTACCAAACTTTGTGAAGGCAGACAATTGTTGGAAATTCTCAGCGCTGAGTTTCTACGGGCTGCAGTAGGAGTCTCTTTGGCGGTAGGTATTTTACTACTCCCTGATCGAGAGAATCCTGATCCGCGCGCGTGTCTACACACTTCGGTACCCATAGTACCCCAATCTCACCCGCTGGGTGAAAACGGTGCTGAGGCAACCGTCAAACTGGCCGTACATGCTCGTGTCACCTCCCTGTATTTTACTACTCCCTGATGTACATGTATGTTTAACAAAGATGAGGTGTTTAAATTCAAATAAATTCAATGAAAAAGGTGAAGGACAAAATGTTACGAGTTACGACTAACTGTTCAGTGTTCACTAACGTAACCAGATCTTATACAGTCAGCGAGTGCGACAAAAAGGCACAAAACTCGCTGACTATACAAGATCTGGTTACGTTGGTGCCTTGGTGGACAGTTACTGTCGGTTAGTCATAACTCGTAACATTTCGTCCTTCTCCTCTTTTCATTGAATTATTTAAACACCTCATCTGCAGCAGCTCGCCCAGGATCGCCCTCAGTGGCAGGACCTGGTGAAGGTTGTATGTAGCCGCTAATGCAACAATGGACATAACTTTGCGTTCCCATCTTGTCTTTTTTTGTGATTGTGATGCTTGATGTGCACTGTGCTTCCTCGCATTCACTTGCTCCTTCTTGCAGCTTGTCTCTTTTTCTGTTATTTTGTTTTGTTTTGACGCTCTGTGTGCAGTGCGCTTCCTCGCGCTCACTTGCTCCTTCTTGCGGCTTAAGCGAAGGCTATATGTGAGCTTTATAAGCTCACTGATGCTAACGCGAATAGAGCATACTAATAAAAAATAATAAAAATAAATAATAATGAAGTTGAAGACACCACTGCAGCTGTACTTATGGTTGATAAATATGGTGGTAAAGACACACCTGACAATATGGCGGTAAACACACGCTTGCCCACACACGCTCTCTAGGCTGCAAAGTTCTGGCACAGAGCTTTGCAGCCTAGAGAGCGTGTGTGGGCAGGCGTGTGTTTACCGCCATATTGCCAGGTGTGTCTTTACCACCATATTTATCAACAATAAATAATAATAATAATAATAACATCTGAAAATGACCTGCACCGCTCGCACTACAAAATAGTGCATTGTTTCCAGTTTATTTGCTTTTTCCAGGATTTGGACGTTTCTCCCTCCAATGAGGAGTGTTTGTATCATTTGCTGATCTGTGAGTAATAGGGAGGGCTAACTTGGTTAGCAGTGCTTGGCTGGGTGAAAACTTTAACTTAAAAACAGAAAGAAAACCTCCAGATACGGGGGTCGACTGTAACCGGGGTCGACTTACATGTACATGTACATGTATAACTGGTAAAATACAGTATCACTAATACACTATCACTATCATCGTCCAGGGCTTTTATTTTCACTTCTCCAGGATCCCTGTCTAACACGTATGGTCTACCCTCGACTCCCTCAGAGTCATAACGACCATCCATTATTATATCAGCTGATATCATGATGGATGAGGCTCTACACGTCTAAGGCCCTAAGGCCATGGTATTGGTAAAAAATAAAGTTGATTCTCAGGTCATGAGCCTGTGAAAATCGGTGCGAGCGAGCGATTTTTTATTTTAATTCCCACAATTTTTTATTTCCAAAGATAGGGTCACACATGTGTACGTCATAGGTTCATAATTAATTTATAATTATTTTATTATTCAGGCCAGGGAGTAGAAAAATACCGGTATTTTACTACTCCCGGATTCATGCCTTTCGCATTGACCGTTTTCATGCACGCATACGCATGCATAGAAATTAAAAAAATCGTCGGTGCACCGCCAAAAATCGGTGCGCGCGTACTTGAGAATCAAAGATAATTTTTACCATGGCCTAATAAAAGGCCGTAAGGGTACATTTCTACTGGCACTGCATATGCATGCACTGCATCGATCGTGCATACGTGTACTGTAGATCGACGGGTACGTGTACATCTACTGTAGGTCTACATGTGCGTCTAGCTGATGACTTCATCGTGCAACTGCAAGATCAGAAACTGGGCCATGGGACGTGGGAGTCGGATCCGGAGTTGCCACGAACTCTGTAAACCAGGGAGTCGTACTTATACCGTTATCATGGTTATTATACGACTCCCTGCTGTAAACCTACTTCGTGCCTTTTTATTTATTTTGTGTGACTCGCCTGTGCTTCTGAATAGCACCTGTTTCGACTCACGCGTACAATGATGTAGACCTACATGTTGTATGTGAACGCCGGACGGAAGAACAAATAATTTAATTATGACCATCATGACTTCGCATGAGCTAGCTCATGACATGAGCATGAGGCCGTCAACGATCATAATAATTATTATTATGTTCATTCATTTATCCAAGATGTTTAGCTCAAAATGTGGCACTACCGTCTGCTGCTGCATAATCATGCATGATGCCGGTAGTCGAGTCTAGTCCGGCTAATAATAATAATATTATTGACAGCGCTAGCTAGCAGATGACCAAGACGACACGGAGTGGACAGCTTCAGCGATGATACGAGTGAAGCAAGCTCGCAGTCAGCTGCAAGTAAAAGGCCAGTTCATACACACTACAGCAACTACACGCATTGCAACTTTCCGCTCTCTCGGGATTCCTATGCAGTTAGCAGCAAGTACATGTACATGTAAGCCTACGAATCTCTAATCTGACAGACTGTGGACAGCTGTAAACGAGCAGAGAGATTTCGTCCGGGGGGTGAATCCAGAGAGTGTCTGCAGTAAATGGTACGAGCACAGTTGTAGTTGCTGTGAAGATCAAGGATCCACACACTACACTGTTCGAAGCTCTATCTTAGTTTGGATGCGGCCGTCCAATTATTATTTGGCAGATTTTGTTCATTCCGTTCTTTCCCTGTGCGCCCACGACCACCCTGCATGCTACTGTTAGGGCGCAGGTCAGACCGCGCCTGCACTCTCTGCTTTTGTCCAAATTTGCGTCAGTAGTCCAAGTCTCGAGTAGTTCCGCGGTTCATGTTAGTTGTTTGTGTCGAATCTGCTATTTAGGTAAACTTTGGACACGGGGTACTGCCATTTGCAGTGCTTTTCAAGGCTTGCAGCTTTGTGGGTTCAAGAGGACGCGTAGTCGCTCCGGCGCTCTGATACCGAACCGGTGTCGACGATTCTGCAGCAGCAGCTGCGGCAGGCAAGAATGGACCCGAGGCCGATACATCCCGGAGCCCCGCTTGGCGATGACCAAACCGACAGCCCATTCCTGCGGCGCCTTCGCCCCAAGCACTTGATCCAAGAGGAAGAAGACGTGGCGGCTCTGATGGACGCCTCGCGAACGCTGAAGCACACAGACCACTCCTTGACGGACCTGTCGAGCCCCGTGCGACGGCAACAGTACACGACGTTCTTCAACGACGTGGACGGCTCGGCGGATCGGCTGGCGCCCGGAACGTTCGAAAAGCAGGATCTGCGCAGGCTCATCGACTGCTTGCAGGACTGGGTAAACGACACGCTGGTCAAGCGGCGCGTAATCGTACGTGACCTGTTCCTGGATATTCACGACGGCGTGGTGCTGGAAGAGCTCATGGACGAGCTGACTGGCGTGGAGGACATGGGCACGAAACGTGCGGTGGGCGCAGTGCGTGGCAAGGCTTACGTTGCAGGCGTCCTGGCACGTCTGAACAAACTCCTGAACGTGGCGGACCAGCAGGACGGTGGCTGCATGTGGACCGTGGAGCGCATCTGGGGCAAGGAGGTGGTGGCCACCCTGTGCATGATGGTGGCGTTGGTGCACCACTTCAAGCCGCTCATGACCCTGCCCGATAACGTGACCATCGAGGTGCTGAGCGTGAAGAACACGCGCGACAAGATGCAGCAGACGGCGCAGCGTGTGCCGATCACGGGAAACGAGCGAGCCCGCATTACCGCCCTGCATCTCGCGCAGGGCAGCGCCGAGCACAATCGCGAGCTGGACGCGTTCGACAAGCTGTTCGTGCACGCGCCCGAGAAGGTGGAGGCCGTGAAGCTGTCACTGACGCAGTTTGCCAACCGCCACCTGGCCGTGCTGGGCTGGAACACGGGTAAGGAGTTGCCCGTGCAAGACCTGGCTCTGGACCTTCACGACGGCCTGCTACTCATACACCTGCTGTCCGTGCTCGGCGGGTACTACGTGCCGATCTGTGAGTATCACCCGAAGCCGATCAGCCAGCTGCAGAAGGTGACCAACATGGGCCTGGTCTTCCAGCTGATGGTCTCCGAAGGCCTGCCCGTGCGAGGCGTGCCGGACGATGTCGTGAACCGCGACGTCAAGACGACCATGCGCATCATGTACGCCATCTTTTCCAAGTTCAAGCTGGCACCGGTACAGCAGGGCGTGGCAGGTGGCAACGGCGTGTAAGGTGTTCACTGAATGATAATGTGAGTGTTGCCATGGTGAGGATATCAGTGTGTTGGCATGGTGAGGATATCAGTGTGTTTACATGGTGAGGATATCAGTGTGTTGGCATGGTGATTATACGATAGGATTCATGCACAGTTTTGAAGACTGGTGGCAGCAAGACCTGTCGCACTATGGTGCTCTTGAACATAGGCATGTAGCCACGGTTTTCAGCTGCGTACACGCACATTCGTGTCTGTGTGCATTTGCGCTTGCTCATGTGCGAGAGTATTCGCTCGCACTTGCATACAGTCATGTACATTTAAATTTTGGTTGACTTTACATGTACATGTACATATCTGGGCACCATCTAACTGGTGCTTTATTGAGAGTGATGATGCGCACATCTATCTGGTGCTTGATGCTGCGTGGCTACATGTACATGTATACTCATCTTTCTTGGGTATGCACATTACCCTTTGACAACGCCACCCCGTGCATTTGCTGTGTGTGTGTGTGTGTGTCGTGGAGCCGTCCATAGTGAATGCGTACATACTCGGGCTTATCTGCCGTCACGAATAACTTACATGATCTTTCAATCTTTACACTGTTCTGGGGTAGATGACTAGCACTCGTGTTACCTTTCTGTGAGTGAACTCCTTGAGTAAATTCAAGATCATGCTTCTGGTTTTCCTCTTTGATATCTTCTATTATCTGAATGTGTGAGGCGCCGGTCTGGGTGCACTGGTGGTAATTCAGGAATTGGCAAGTTACTTTCCAGCCCGGCTCGTCTGTACGTGCACGTGTGTGTGTGTAGAAAAAAAACACTTCATAGCTGTGTGATGTCGACCAGGCTGAATAGTGGCGGTCAATTCTTCAGCCTTGGAAGCTGTTGAATGGTGCAATCCCAGCACAAGTTGCCATGGCTTCTGCTGTAGCGTCGCTATAATCGCCTCTGGCGATGGGTGTCAAATGGTCAAATGGTGTGTGCGCGTGTGTGTTTACTTCAGTAGTATGTGTGTGAGACAGACAGAGAGCTCTGCTTCGACCAATGGTGTTCATGTGTGTGTACGGGGGGAGGGGGGAGTATACACCCATCAAACGCTATCAGCGATGTTTCGTTGTGAATCAGCTCCTGACACCAGGAAACTTGTCAGCATTGATTTGCCCTAGTAGTCCGTGTACTTTTTTAGGAGTTTGCATGGAAGTGCAGTTCCAGAATAGACATCCAGTCCACTGATACCTCGCCTATCCAGGCGGTCCGGGACCGGGCCCTGCCCGTAACTCCGAATCACCTACATTTTGATGGGGAAAATTGCCCAAAATTTGACGTTGCTATTTCCAGGAAAAGTAACAGAAGAGTAGTCATAATTCCACTATAACTCGCCCAAAGGGTGCCCGGTGGACTGAAGTGCCCGTAACTTCGGGGTCTGGACAACCGATGTATGAGAGTGTATCTATCAAGAGTGACTTTTCAAGACGAATTAGAATGACATGAAGTTCAATACAATCAAACAAGAATCTACAAACCAGCAGGCAACCAAATACAGCACAGGACCAAATATTCCTCTAAAGTTACACGGGTCGCTAAAATATTTCACCGGGAATGGGTCTAGATTCAGAATACACTAAAACTTTTACCTGCTAAAATTAGCCGTTCTACAGTATGACGATGGCAGCATGCCACAAGGAGGATACATTGGGTCTAGATTCAAAATACACTAAAACTTTTACCTGCTAAAATTAGGGGTTCTACAGTATGACGATGGCAGCATGCCACAAGGAAGAGGATACATAAAGCAAGCCTAGTATAATAGTGTGTGTGTAGGCATACATATACATGCCATACACTGCAGAGTACAGACCAAGGACGGCGGCCTGTGTGGGTCGTCAGATGGGCGTAAAGCCATGCATGCGGCGTACATGTCTGGCTACTTCTTTGCTGTACAGTGCGTGCACATGCCAAACACCATAGAGTACAGACCAAGGGCGGTGGGTAGTAGGTGATCAGATGGACGTAAGGCGGCTGGCCAGCACCGCGACGCGGTACGCCATGCACAGGCAGGAGACGAGAGCGAGCACCTGCGTGAGGATGTGATAGCGCAGGAACCCGCGGCGACTCGCCCAGTATGCCGTGTTGTCCTGATGATGTCGTCACGCAGCACAGACCACCGCGCGCACACAAGGTCAGCAAACGCACGCACGGGTGAATGTAGACATGCACAAGTGCACACACATGTACACGCATACACACACACACACACACACACACACACACACACACACACACACACACACACAGGCATGCACGTACGCACAAGCACACACATACGCACAAGCACACACATACACCCATTAGATGGTCATTGTTAGAGACCTCTGCTACATTACTGGATATTTTTTGAGATCATGCGCATACACACAAACATACGTATAGAGACGGGGGCACGAAACGTTATTGCTAGTACTCGGAGTTACACGCGTTGGAGATCTTCAGAGTAGACACATACGAGCACGTATACACATACATACACATGCATGCACACACACACACACACACACACACACACACACACACACACATACACACACACACACACACACTGTGACACACACACACACACGCACATGCCCTCACCTTGAGTTTACTGCGATCTGGATCTCCGACTTGCTCGCCCAAGCCTTCTTCCTTCTCAAACTTATGACATTGAAACATGAGCGTGATGGAAGCCGGAACTAGGAGCGCATAGTTGACTGCTGTACTGGCGAAGGAGATGAGCAGCACAACAGCCTGCAAACGAAACACATAAAGGAAGCATGACGAGAAGGCAGAAAACGAAAACAAGGTGAGCAAAAAACTATATAAAAAACCTACGTGGAGACAACAGTTTGATTATAGCAATAAAAAGGATCAGCTGCGCTCTCATTCTGTACAAACATCAAGGCATGGTGGTGGGTAAGGTTAAAAGCAATAACGAGAAAACGTTTTTGGAAGCTTACCCATCACGTTGCCTTGGTGTTTGTATAGAGCGAGTGCGCAGCTGATCCTTTTTATTGCCATAGCAAAAAAACTAACAAGAGTATTATGTACAATTCATAGATGCGATTGCCCCTACAGCACATAGGGGCCCAAGAAATGGAGATATTAATGCATGCATGAATGTCAAGTAGAGACGAGACAGTTCGTGGAAGGACAACGCGGCACCAGTCGTTATCAAAAACATAACAGCAGTGCATGCGGTGTACTGGGATGATGCATGCCAACTACAGCCGTCGCCCAACAAATTCGGCCAATGCGCAGTACGGTACGGGGTGCAGCAGCTGCAAGGTCGCTACATGGTGCTGTCGCGGACATGGAAATCCGGTCGCAGGTCTAGTGGCCCCGGGGCGCTGGCCATGCAGCCGTGGGTAAGCAGTACACACATGCATGACGTTATGCACTGCATGCAACGCGCTGGTACATGGTTGCATCGGATCCTGCACTGTTCTGTACGCGCGGAGGGCGCCGGCCCCGGTCAATCGACTGGATTTCCATGTGCGCTACAGTAGTATGTAGATGGAAGTCATACAGGCAGAACTGCACTGACGGTATGCAGGGTTTGTGCAAACTCCTGATATAGCGAACACCATTGAGCAGGATAATTGGTTCTTAATTGCCGAAGTTCGTTACAACAGAAATGCACTCACACCACACAAGCAGCAAGTCATGACTGACATGTGGTCCATGACAGTATGACTGCACTTGGTCTACATGCGGCCCTACAAGATTCGGTGTGGTATAAACGAAAACCGCTCACTATAAAGAGTCAATTCTGTACGGGTTCAAGCAGGGACATGGACAGCGGTTCGTTATAACACGAAATTTGCTGTATGAAAGTTCGCTATAAGTGCAAAACAGATTTTTTGGCGCCGACTGACCTGGATGAACTGATCACGGCTGGCGAAGGCGGACGGATACTGGTGGACGAACGTCACCACCGCAAGTCCAGTGCAGATGACACCGTAGAGAAAGAGGCGCGGAAAGACGGCCGCCTGGGCCACACCGAAGGCATGTCGGGGCATGACCTGGAGCATGATCACACCTGTGACACACACATAGAGCACAGCTACAGTAAAGACGACACGACACGGCAACGGCAACGACCATGACGACACGACGACGGCAACAACCATGACGACACGACGCGACGACGGCAACGACCATGACGACACAACACGACGACCATGACGACACGACACGACTAGACAACAACAACACCACCACTTTCCGCATTTATTTGGGATCATAAGTGGACTTACGAAATAGTGGTTGCGACCTCGGCGATGATTTTTTTGGAATGAGTTTGCTCCCACACTGGAGCGCACGCTATTCCGCCGACTTGACTTCACACTTGACTGACCCACGACTGCCATCCAGAGCAGAGAAGTGTGAAGTCAAGTCGGCGGAATAGCGCGAGCTCCAGTGTGGGAGCAAACTCATTCATAAGTGGACTTCCAAAAAAACCCACATGGCAACAGAACAATTCAGAATACCGTATTTCCCCGAATATAAGTCGCATCTTTTTACACCAAATTTCAGAGCCAACAAAGGGACTTACAATCGAGCATGATTACGAAATGAAGTGAATATACCGAAACGATATGACATCGACCTGGAAATAGGAGTGCGACTTACAATCGGGGAAATACGGTTGTGAAATCGTGGGAGTAGTTGAGTTTCAAATAATCTGCGAGGAGACAATGATTTCATTAAAGCTATCAATAGTATTAAAGCCGCAGACCTCATCACGCTATATGGCACTTGTTCAATTCGATCGATTCTGGAAGATAGAGTAGAGACTCATCGATTCTGGCAGTTTACACATCCACAACTTGAGCAAGTGTCATGTAGCATGGTTATGCCTGTTATGTGGCTTTAATGCTATTGATAGATTTAGTTGAGTTCCAGCACTACTTCAAGTACATTATAGCTGCAAGACCTACAACGTGACACACACACACACACACGCACACACACACACACACACACACACACTCTCTCTCTCTCTCTCTCTCTCTCTCTCTTTCTCTCTCTCTAGCTCTCTCTAGCTCTCTCTAGCTCTCTCTAGCTCTCTCTAGCTCTCTCTAGCTCTCTCTAGCTCTCTCTAGCTCTCTCTCTCTCTCTCTCTCTCTCTCTCTCTCTCTCTCTCTCTCTCTCTCTCTCTCTCTCTCTCTCTGTGTGTGTGTCTGTCTGCTTTCCTCACCTTGAAAGGTTGCACTCCACAGGGACGTGCCGAGCCACAGAGCACACGCCATCACATGAACACTGGTCACTAACTTTGACACAACGTCATCAGCTGCGCTTCCAAGCAACACCGGGGACACCGTGAGGCCCAGAACTATGGCAACCACCGAGAGTTGGTACGCCGCAATATTCATCCTTGCAATGCTGCAAAAACAGAATGGAGAGAATGGATACACGTATTTCTCGTTATATATTTTTTTCTCTTTTACCAACAGATGCATTAACCCCATGGATGATCTCACTAATGGGCTACATGCGAACCGTTTTATGATTTTTTATTGTTTTAAATAATGTACAACGCCAAGCTGCAATCGATGATGAGGCTAAGAACTCAGCCTCTGAAAGAAGAAAGAAGTCTGAACGGCACGTGTACTTGAGCGACTCGATCGGATTTCATGAAGCAGTACTGTCCACGTCAAGGTTGATACATACGTCGGTGCGATGTATTTTCCTACAACTAGAAGCCCTGCACTACAGTCCAGTCATAAAAAGATGGACTTGTGGCTTTTTGCCATAAATGGGTCAAACTTTGAAATTTTTTAGAATTCTTTTCTGCAATACCCTATGGAATCCTCTTCCAATTATGTTTCTGAAGTCTATTTCTCCAAAACGCAAGCCCTAACAAGAATAGGAGTTCAGTCAGGTTTTACGCCAAAAGCACATGAATTTTGAAAAGGTTCCGAAAACCATCAGAATCCAAACCGTTTGTCCCCACCTGCAACAGTTCACTGTGCGGTTCGAACTCCAGTTCGGGTACTCTTCTTGGACCTTTTTTCCAATTTCCAATTATTTCGCAGCACTGCACTGTGTACGATGAAATCAAGAAAAATCGCCAAATACGGGAGCTTGCCAGAGCCAGGGCCAGGGCCAGGGCCCGTCTTTCTATTTATTATTATGAAATGACCCAAAGGCAATGTGCCTATCGAGGGGTTCATTTGATTGAAAGAACAGTAGATGTAGATGTATGTACAAAGAGAAGTAGGGATTGATGAGGAGAGAAATGGGGAAAATCAACTGCAAGGTGGCGGAATTCCGTTGATTGCATAAGCATAGTCAGCTATGAACGCACTGTAAGCAATACACAGTCGTCGTATTTCAAAGCGTCATGGGCAGATACCCACCCCACCGCCTGCATAATCGCTGCCAAATGACCTCCTGTAGTGTCTTGTATAAAAGCCTGTCTTGTATAGAATTCTGATTTTTAAGATACACTGTCAACGCATAAGCCTGGTTTAGTGTTGACATACATAGAGATACGTGGTTTGAATAGAAGCCTGACTTGAATAGAAGACTAGCACTGATATCGGCTTATACGGCCCGTAAGCACCTGCTTTTATACGCGACATTACGGTATTATCGCTCGCGGAATTTTAAAAAGTTGCGGAATAACTGTAGGGACTAAGGATGTGCTAAAAGAATAGAGCGGTCATACTAGTATACTTACAGAACAAGAGCTTGCGCTAGTCGCACACTCGCAGGCCGACACCCTCTGCGACGTTCTCAAGCCATTCCGTGTTTGGCCAGAGCAAGCGTGTCTCGTGCACATGTGTGTGTGTGTGTGATGACTTATTTCATATGCATTCCATTCTTCATTTTTTTTTTTTTTTGAATTTCCGGTTCGCGTGCAGCCGAGTTTTCCGCAGGAAACACCACTACCCTCTAGGACTGATCAAGGCGCGGATGCTGCTCCAAAGCGGTGGTTCTATTCTGGGGGACACAAAACAAGGCTTCGCACCAGTGCAACATGAAGAAGGTGATCACTGTTTGCGGAGAACAATTCAACACGCTGTTCGACAAAGTGCAGCTGTCGACATTAAGTTTTGAATTTTCGAATTTTTGAAACGAACTGGAGCTTTTCCGAAACTCAAACTAACTTGACCAATGTGGAGTGGAGTTGGCAGAGGGAAACTCACTCCTCCAGTGCCACAGTATTCATTCAAGACTTAGTCGCAGGCAAGTGTGCTAAGAAATTGGGTTGCATGTTATTCGAGGGTGAGGTTTACCTTGATCTCAGCTGTCACTCAGGCGCTTCTGTGCTTGTGCTGTTGAGACCGCTCTAGCGTCTGCAACTCGTCGTTTTTGCAGGTACACAGCAGCTAGTTTCTATGGACCGTCGCGCACACAAGGTGAAGGGCATCAACCTGACGTGTCTTACAAACAGTCACCGTGTAACATAGTACTTGTGCCTAATACTAGTACAGACTACAGTGTAATACAGGTATTGTAACCAGAAATATTCCCGATTCGCAAACGATCTAAAAATATTCAGGGAACTCCGAACACAAACGAGATGAAGGAAGAAGAAGGCGTTTTGATGCTCTATCCCAAGTGTTCCTAGAAGTTATACGCCAAGCAATACAAAGCCAAAATACTTGCGTAACACTTCTGAATGATTGTACATGTACATGCAAAATTGTTGCGAAACTCAAATCAATGTCAATCGAATCATTCAAACGCTTGCGTAATACTAGGCACTTCAGTCACGTGACAGGACCTGTCAAAAATTGCTGAGGTGAGAGTGCGCCATGCGCCAGTCAAGTGCATGAGCAAAACTGTACAGGTACGCGCTATGCTTCGCTGTACGGGCTGATACAGGTGTGGGAATCTTCGGGAAGCATGCAGATTCCTCACATCCAACACCACACGACACAGCAAGCCAGGGGCACCAGAATTACAAGGATAAACTGAAGTTGAGAGAGAAAAAACGACAACCGTCTCCTAACTACCAAGGGAAGAGAAGCACTTCTTGTCGAAGGGAGAATACAGAAAAGGGAGAAGAAAGCCAAAAATGGGTACACGGCATAGGAAAGTACAACATTATCGTACCACGCAATACTGTGCGTGAGAACACCGCGCGCGGGTACGCGGGATCGGCAGAAACTAGAGTAGAGTGATTATGGATATACGGAACCAAAAAGTAAGGAAGGGTCAAGAGTACAAGTTGCGATTTAGACAAATTTGACGGACATCTCCATGGGGTTTGGAGTGGATACACTACAGTACCTCCCCCCTAAAAGAATATCAAGGCAAGAGGAAAGAGAGAGAGAGCGAGCAAGAAGGAGAATAGGAGTAGATGCAGAAAACAGGAGAGAGAACAGAAAGAAATGACCGGAGAACATGGCAGATATGGCAAGTGATCAATGCCAATGGACTCGCTTCACAACATGGACAGGAGCTGCAGTCGACGGAGCAGAACTAGCAGGCACTTGCAGATGGGCAGGCTTTAAATGATCAATTGATATGACCCGAGTGGTGCCACGGATATCAACGGAAAAGTACTTATCAGACCGCCGGAGAACAGGGAAGGGGCCGTCGTACGGTGGCTCCAGAGAACGACGTTTCTCATTCCGGACGAAGACGTGAGTACAGGTCTGGAGGTCAGGAGACAAGTGAACGGGTGTGGCTGCAGGACGAGAGGCACTAGGTTGAAGGGTGTGAGCAAACTCTCGAAGGCGGGACAAGTAGCTGGCAGGGTCGGGTATAACCTCCGGCGCGGCGCGGTAGAAATCCTGCGGCAAACGGAGAGAGTTACCATAAACAAGCTCTGCCGGAGAACAACCCAAATCAGCCCTCTCAGTCGACCGGAGGCCAAGCAAGACCAGAGCAAGATTCTCAGACCAACGTTCAGGATGAGGCGTGCACATGAGGGAAGATTTCAGGGTCCGGTGAAAACGCTCAACGAGACCATTACTCTGGGGGTGATATGCTGTTGTGCGACAACGCTTGATGCCGAAATCACGAAGGAAGGCGGTGAACTGAACGGATTCGAATTGGGCACCACGATCTGTGACAATGTGGGTGGGAACGCCGAAATTACCTATCCAATGAGAGAGAAACGCAGCCAAGACAGTAGATGTGACTGTGTTCGAGAGAGGGACAGCGATAGGCCAGCGGGTGAAACGGTCCACAGGTGTCAGTAAGTGCGTGTACAGGGCCGGCGGAACCGGTCAGGCTGGTCCGGCCATGGCCGGACCACTTTCCCAGCTGGATGGTCCATGTGATTCGTGCAAAACCGGTGTAAAAAAATCCAGAGGTACATGGCTCGACTGTACTGCCGACGTATGATGTGCTTCGAAGTAGCTCAGGACTCCATGACCGGCACTGTATGGCTTTAATGATATGGATAAAAAAAAGTTGTGTTTGTGTTCTTTTACTATAATTTTCTGCATTTTCTGGAGCCTTAAGAGGTGCCCAAATTCGCTCTATTTCACGTAAATTTTAAATATTTCTCCCGCGGGAGGTCCCCCGGACCCCCCACAAAGGTTGGCCGGACCACTCCAAAACTCCTTCCTCCGGCCCTGCGTGTAGCCATTGGACATGGGCAATGGGCCGATAAGATCAAGATGCACCTGCTGAAAACGGGCTTCAGGCAATGGGAAGATGTCAGGTTTGCTACGGGTGTGACGGTGGATCTTGGAGCGTTGGCAGGAGGAGCATGCGCGGGACCAGTCACGGATGTCACGATTCATGCCGGGCCAAACATAGCGAGCACAGACTAACTTCTGCGTCGCACGGATGCCAGGATGGGACAAGGCATGTAAGGTATCGAACACGGAACGTCGGAACAGCTGCGGGACGTAGGGGCGGGTTGTGCCGGTAGAGGATGAATAATTCCGAGATCCAGCATGTGTTAAAACTCCGCCTTGGCTGATTGTAGCTTGTCAGGTGCGAGGCGGCGAGCTTGGGCGTGGACCGGGGGACCCTTGGTGGTCACATGGTGAGCGACTGAGTGCTGGGGCTCTTGAACTGCGGAGAACTGACGAGTAATGCCTGAAAACGCGGTGAGCAACTCCTGGACAGGAGGAGGTGCCGACAGGAGGTTAACGACAGGACGCACAGGAGAAGCAGTAAACATGGTGTGTGCAGTTGTAGACATATTCGTGAGGCAATCAACGATCTTCTTGCCACGAATATTGACGAGCAGGTGATGAGGATGGGGGAAATCCGCTCCTAGAATGGCCTGTTCCACCTCAGCGACCACAAAGACCCACTGAAAACGGCACCGGAGTCCCAGGTCGACAGTAACACTACGGTGTCCATATGTAGCAATGGGTGTACCGTTGGCAGCGCGGAGTGACTGGGACGATGTGCCGCGGCGATCAGTGCAAGTGGCCGGCAAAACATGACGCTGCAGCTAATGGCTGGCACAAAAGGTTTCCGACTCGGAACATGGCATCGTGCAGTGCTGGGCTTTATCGCCAAATCTACGGTGGTAAAAGCAGAGAGTGTCGTCAGACTGGTCCTTTTGTGGCCGTCGTGGGGACTTGCTACGGCCATGCCCTGGTGATTGGGATCGACCACGGTGCTGAGACGAGCTGGCACGGTCCAGTTGTTGGCGGAGGGAGGAAATTTCGGCACGCAGTTCTTGAAGCTCCATGGACGCGTCAGGGCTGGGTGATACAGGCGTAGCGGCGACATGATGTAGGGCAGGCTGCGGAGTGCTGGCGATTTCCATTAGATTGTCAGCGAGGGAGGCCTGCTGCTCCAGAGACAGTGAGGATGCGGAGGCGAGGACCATTCGTACATGGGGTGGGAGTCGCTGCAGAAACAGTTCCTGGAGCACTGCAGACTCCACAGTAGAGGTGCCCTGTAGCTGGCGAAGATGCCGGAGGAACTGCGATGGACGGCGATCTCCGAGTTGTGCCTCCGTCAGGAGCTGGCGGATGCGCTTCTGCTCGCTGGCGCACAAACGCTCCACGAGGTGCCGCTTCAAGTTGGTGTACGAGTAGGGTTGCTGAGTTGGCGGTTGCAGAAGCATATCGCGCACCTCATGAGCGAACTCATGGGATAGCGAGCTCACCACGTATTGGCATTTGGTGTTCTCCACGGTGATGCCCTTTATGGCAAACTGCGCTTCGACCTGCGTGAACCACAGTTGCGGATCGTTCGGCCAGAAAGGTGGGAGTTTGAGAGAAACGCTGGTTACTGCTGCTGGTGGAGGTGCTGGTACAGGTTGTCCGTCAGTGGCATGGGGACTGGGCGCAGTTGGCTGGGGCGGCGTATTAGAAACAGCTCCGGAACCCCGTGGACGTCCACGTCCGACAGAGGCAGGGGGACGAACCGGCGTAGACATAGTAAAACACGGCAAAATCGGGGTCACCAATTGTGGGAATCTTCGGGAAGCATGCAGATTCCTCACATCCAACACCACACGACACGGCAAGCCAGGGGCACCAGAGTTACATGGATAAACTGAAGTTGAGAGAGAAAAAACGACAACCGTCTCCTAACTACCAAGGGAAGAGAAGCACTTCTTGTCGAAGGGAGAATACAGAAAAAGGGAGAAGAAAGCCAAAAATGGGTACGCGGCATAGGAAAGTACAACATTATCGTACCACGCAATACTGTGCGTGAGAACACCGCGCGCGGGTACGCGGGATCGGCAGAAACTAGATCTATAGAGTAGAGTGACTATGGATATACGGGACCAAAAAGTAAGGAAGGGTCAAGAGTGCAAGTTGCGATTTAGACAAATTTGACGGAAATCTCCATGGCCATATGGGGTTTGGAGTGGATACACAGCACAGGGATATCCCGGATAGTTGGGCGCATCGTGTTGCTCTGACGTTCAGCTTTCAGTAGATCCCGCATACGTCATAGTGCGTACATTTTTGCGAGTTGTAGATCACGTAGATCTACACTTCAGCAAAGAGGTTTTCACAAGGAACTGTTGTTTGCTCGCGTTTGAAACGTTGCTTTATATCGTCTTCAGCGTCGTCTTTCCATTCGGAAACAGTAGAGTTCTTGTTTACCAGGGTTTGCGCATCGCTGCGCAAGGAGACATTATGGACGTAGGCACTGAGAAGTATGCGCTTTAGGCGGAGGGGAACGACGATGCGTCGTCCTACCTGGGCGAATTCTCAAAGCGTACTGAAAGCCAAGTTTTGACACGGTTGTGCCGGAAGGCCTACTGATGTTTACGAACAATCAAAAGGCACAGTGGCTGCCGGAGAAACCCTCCGATGAGGGGATGCTTTGATGTACGCAGCCAGGCACGCTTCACCAACATTTCAAAGCTCACCAGCAGGCAATTCATGACTGCTGCATGGAGCAGTTGATGGAGAGGGAGGCAGATATCACACCATGGAAAGAAGCTACCAACAGAGGTCCTGCGGAACTTCTTGCCAACTAATTACTTGGAATCACTTGAAGTGGCATTACTGTGGGCACGAATGTCCTGTGCAGTAATTTGTGCGCGCGCGCGCGCCCGCACGTACTTACCCTCCACTTTGCGGTGTACGGCGTACGGCGTACAACGTGGAAGTTCTCTGTTGCTTTGTGCCAGAAGAATGTCTTTATAGGTCTTACGCTTTAGTACCCACAGGAGCATGCCAGTATGTCGTTATCAGTTCATTTCAACGCAAACTGAAGCTATTACTATGGGTTACTATGGCGTTGCTATGGGTTGCTATGGAGTTGCTATAGTGATTGCGGTCACAATTGCCGTATTCTGGACTATTCTGAACTTTGATCTGTATTGTTTCGATCCATACACGGTTGTTGGTGTAAGGCAGTGATGTGTGCTTGAAGAAAACACTCTGATGTTTTGTGACTATATCCACTGGATTGAGGCTCCAGTCTCTTTGGAGGCGTGGGTTCGAATCCCACCAATTTTGTAGCGGGCCTGGAGGCAAAACAACCTAACAACTCGAAACTAACTAACGTGTTACATTATTATACAATTCTCTCTCTCTCTCTCTCTCTCTCTAGATGGCAAAACTGTCTCTAGCAGTAAAACTCTGAACTCATTTTGAAAGATAAAATAAACACAATTTATGGAGAATAATCACAACCAGCAACGTGCTGTCATGCGACCGTTGTATGGTAGAACGAACGTCGTAATGAACAGTACGCTGAGCGTATACGCAAATGCCGAGCTTGTAGTGAACGTCGTATTTTTACAGTACGCTGAGCGTAAACGCAAATGCTGAGCTTGTAGCGTGACCAACGCTACAATAATACTTCGGAGATGCTGTTGGCGCCACAAATTGTATTGATTTCGCCTTATGCAACTGCCTATCTTCAACCCTTCATATCTGAGTGGTATCACTGTGGATTTCAATAACATTTTCTGTGTGACCTTGTGATACCCACCACCATCGATTACCGATGATAAACCTGGAAAAAACGCGATTATCAAAAAAATGGGGTGAAGTGCTTAGTAATACATGTACATACATGTACAGACACCTCTACTTATAACGAACTCGCATAATAGCGAACTATTATAGCGAACCCTTGACGTGTCCCTGTTTGAATTGAACTTATTGAAGGCTTTGAACCCATACAAAACTTACCCTATAGCGAACGGTTTTCGTTTATAACGAATACAATCTTGTAGGGACATTTAATATGAATATGAATCATGATGCAAGCCAAGTACAGTGCACGCATACTAGTGTCATGTATACATAATTCCTCTGTGCATGCTGCGCTGAATGATGAGTTCACAAAGAACGAAACAGCATGCTGTCCGCAGATTGAATACATACATGTACATGTACATGTATGCAGTCTACAACTGTACAGTAAAACATGTTGCTGCCGATATGGATCTGTTAGTTGACAGCATGAAAGTATTACTATTACTATTTATCTCTCGCTTTCTTTCTGCATCAATGGAGACCATAAGGCAGGTATCGCTCGGATACTCTCTCAAGAACATCCCAGCGCCCTCGGAGAAGGAATACACCAAGAGCCTCCTGAGGCGAGTCGAGGAGGTCATAAAACGAATGCGTTGGAAAGCTCTCTTCACCCTGAAAGGCGCCAACGAAGATAGCGCCAAGAAGACGTACGGCTTCAAAACCGTGAACTGCCCACCCCAGATTGAAGAACTCAAGGCATTCGAGAACGCAATGTATAATATGGTTGAGCATATTACGTTCCGCCGGGCTTCTAACCAGCTTCAAGAGCAGATGAAGAACGATGTGAAGAAGATCAAAGAGTGTGATGATATAGTGGTACCAGCGGACAAGACAAGAAACCTGTACCGAGTATCAGCCCCGCAGTATGAAAAGCTGCTACATGACAACGTGACGAAGCAGTACAAACTCGCCCCAGACACCGACTACACGGCGATTAATGCCGAAGCCCGCGATATAGCTGCCGATCTGCACCTGGATGACCGAATGGAATGTCTGGCCAAGGCACAAGCGTTCGTCACTTTAAAGGATCATAAAGCCGACTTCCATGACAAGCTGCAATGCAGACTGATTAACCCCGCCAAGTCCGAAATAGGCGTCGTAAGCAAATCCATACTGGATGGTGTTATCGGCCCCATGCGGAGCAGCGTATGTGAGAATCTGTGGCAGAACACGCAAGCGGTCATCGAGTGGTTCAAGGGCATTGAAGACAAGCCGCGGTACACCTTCGTCGTGTTCGACATCGTCGAGTTTTACCCCAGCATAACGAAAGACCTTCTGCTGGATGCCCTGTCGTACGCCGGGACGCACGTTCCAATGTCCAAGAAGGACATTGAGACGATACTGCACGCACGGAAGTCATTGTTGTTCGACGGCGGCAAAGCGTGGATGAAGAAGGAGGAGGACGGGTCATTCGACGTTACAATGGGATCGTACGACGGCGCAGAAGCCTGCGAGCTTGTTGGGGCTTTAATCCTCGGCAAACTCCGTCCACTCCTGGGCGACCAGTGCGTGGGTCTTTACCGTGACGACGGACTAGCGATAATGAAGGACGCCACGGGTCATGATGCCGACCGCACGCGCAAACAGATCATACAGATATTCCAAGCACACGGCTTAAAAATAACAATCGAAACCAACAAGAAGATCGTCGACTACTTGGATGTGACCCTGAATCTCGCCACCGGAACATTCCAACCATACAGGAAACCGAATAGTACACCCCTGTACGTCGATGTGCGGTCCTGTCACCCACCGCAGGTGCTGAGACAAATACCCATTGGCATCAACAAGAGGCTGCAACGTATCTCATGCAATGAGGAAGTGTTCAACGATGCTAAAACGTTATACGAGGACGCACTGGCCTCAAGTGGCCACCCGAAAACCATGACATACAAGGATGAACCGAGCAACAAGAAGAAAAAAGCGAAGAAAGGGCGCAGCCGCGACGTCATCTGGTTTAACCCGCCGTACAGTACCACGGTCAAAACCAACGTTGGCGCAAAGTTTCTATACCTCGTCAAGAAACACTTCCCTGAAGGGTCGGCGCTACACAAGGTGTTTAACAAGAACACAACAAAAGTAAGCTACAGCTGTATGAAGAACGTAGCGTCGATTATCAAAGGGCACAATGCTGCAAAACTTCACTCGCGACCGCCAGTTGTGCCATGCAATTGTCGGGTCAAGGCGTCGTGCCCCCTCAACGGTGACTGCCAGTCTTCCGACGTCGTGTACGAGGCGCATGTAGCATCCAACGAAGTCAAGACCTACGTCGGCATGACTGCTACCACATTCAAGCAGCGCTACAACAAACACACTTCGGACTTCCGCCATGAACAGTACGCCGCATCGACTAAGTTGTCCAAGCACATCTGGGATCTGAAAAACGAGAACCGCGGATTCGACATCAGATGGGAGATCAAGGATAGAGCACCTTCGTACAGTAACATCAGCAAGAAGTGTGGCCTATGCTTAACCGAAAAGTTCCACATCCTGAAAGCTTCAAAAGCTACCTCCCTAAACAAGAGAAGTGAGCTGGTATCTAAATGCCCTCACCAGCGCAAGTTTCTGCTGGCCACCCCTATTACATAGACAGCTATGACCGCTGCGGGTTTTTTGACGCGTGATTGCAGGAGTTTGTGTGCGCTTAGATTTGTCATACGAACGCAGATGCCTGTGTATACGTGTGGACATGTGTCTATAGGTGTGTGTATATGCGTGTGTGCGTGTGTTTGTGCGTGTGCGAGTTAGGGTGTTGTGGGTGGGTGGGTGTCCTGTGTGTGCGTGCGCCCGTGTGCAAGTTAGGGTGTTGTGGGTGGGTGTATGTGTGTGTAAGTGTGTGCGTGTATGTGTGTATTATGTGTGTGGGTGTTACTATGTGTGTGCGTGTTAGTATGTGTGTGTGTGTGTGTGGTGTGTGAGCGACATTAAGCGCGTACTTGTTAGTGCTAGACCTGCGCCTACTGCATCTGCCTCTGAAATAGCCCGTCCCTGTATACATTCACGCGATTACTCCTCTCGCTATC